TAGTTATAATAAGAAACCCACAATAGTATAGGTAATTATTAAGGCCCCTATATTACTAGGGTTTGAATCAGGGTTTTTGGGCATTGGGGTCTGGGGTTTAGGGCTAAGGGATTCGACAGTTTGCATAGCTTGGGCTAAGGGACTTGACAGTTTGCATAGCTTAGAGGCTGTTGATGGAGAAACAAGCAGTCGTCCTGCACGTCTCAAGCTTACAACATTGGCCTTTCATCAGAAGCTGCCGGCGCACGAATCAACTGCTTGTGACTGGCCCAAAGACCTCGCCTCCCTAAAATCAGGATCAGCTCTTAACATCTAACAACAAGAACTCCTTTATAGTTCAAGATATACCTTAACCCCGAATAATCTACAATTTAGGGACGTAGATGACGAAATCATAAGACGAAGCTCAAGAGGGCAGGTTTTATTGCATAGTTCAAAAGTTCAGGGTATACTCCTTCATTCAGAACAACTGGTCTCCTGGGGAAGCTCAATCCGAATCGTAATTGCTAGACGAAGCCGGTACACAAGAAGAGTCTGTGGCTATGAACTGGATTTTCAAGCTTACGGTCTTTAAGGTCTAGGGTTTTGGGTTTCGGCACTCAGTTCTTAAGAAAAGGGAGGGATGTCAATCGCAGTGTATTGCCCATCTTTTCTTCACGCTGTCTGCCCTTGGGGCATCGGAGCGCTCACCAAGGGGGCGCGACAACCAGCAAAGCTGCGTCGGCGTTGTGTTCTAAGCATCTCGCAACCCTCGCCTCCGAACCCTCAACCAAGGCTTTTCGTAGCATGAAGACCCTACAGTAATACTGGCTAACTAAGGAGTCGGAAACAAAAGGCCTTGGCTCCTTACGCAGGATTTGAAGTTTGGGTGGAGGTGTGGCAACGTGCTGCTCATTGAAGCTGCATGGCAGGTTTCTTTCTTCCTTACGTGTCGCGTGCCTTGGACCATCCTAAGACATGCTCACACATCGCAGAGTTCGAAGGAAGCAGTCCTAGGGCTCAAGGGCTTTACATAAGTTGAGTGCACAGTAATGTCTCGCTTCGGTTTAGGGAGTTCGGCGTCTATGAACCGCAGGTAAGGCACCCGCTGCTCTGCACTATATAAGCATCAGCGAGAGGAAGTTAGGCTGAATCAATGCATGGACAATTGACATAATACTGTAGGAACCTTAATAATTAACACCGGATTTTGGGGCCCGTCATACTATATTCATCATAAGCGACTCCCAAAAGGGTATCAGTACTTATTTAGGCCCCTATAGTCATGGGCTCAGGGCCGTTGACAAACACTGAAACCTGGAGGGTTCAAACTCCACATGTCTGGTCATGGGGTCGGCTACCAAGAAGTCGCTGGGTTCCTTGCGAAACGTAGGGTCAACCTTGAGTTCTTGGCAGCAACGCATGACAAGGATAAGTGTTCTCCCCCGAAGCGTCCATGTGCCCAAATAGTATATGCTTTGGGCCCAATGTAACCATACAGGGAGTACTTTAAGGCCAATGTATACACTATTTTGGGGACATGGACCCTTAGGATCTAGCTCAAGGTCATGATCAGGACCCAGCAAGAAAGCATGCTCTAGAAGCTTTACACGGGGCTCGTCATCCACGTTTGCACTGATATAGGGGCCCTAATATTTACCCATACGATTTTGGGGGGGTTCCTTATTATATTTATAGTATAATGAGCCCCAAAACCCTAGTCTAATTGTGAAGGTCCCTGCAGTAGTTGTCGTAACCCCCGACGAGGTCAGTACAGGAGTCTGCTCTCGCCTACAGTAAACTCCATAAAGTTGGAAGCCGGATTAAGGCCAAATAGTGCTGGGATTTCCTATACATTACTCTTAAGGATTGAAGCTATTGGGTTTCCAACTTATTGGCTTCTACTGTAGACAAACAAAGCCCTAAATCCGAAACGTGAGGCTCTGAAAAGACACAAATCCGAAGAGCCTGCTTTGCACTCAGGTGCCTTTGGTCGCAGCCCCCATTCCACCATGGAACCCCCTCACAGTGTGTCCTTTGGGTGGTTTTTCGTTGTGGGTTTGTATAGTTAAGGTTTAAGTTTAGGGCGTCTGCAGCAAAAACACCCAAAGCCTGCGAGGGGCAGAGGTGAAACGTGTTCTCAAGCAGGCTGTGCGGCCGGAAACGTCTCTGTAAAATGTCCCGTGAGTCGCAAATGATCCGAGCTGGAACCAAAACCTACAAACCCAACAAGGCCCCAATTCCCCAAGATCCGAGCTTGAACCAGAAGCTACCAACCCAAAAAGGCCCCAACTCCCCAAGATCCGAGCTTGAACCAAAACTTACAAACCCAAAAGGACCCAGCTCCAAAATCTCCGAAGCTCTGAAATGGCACAGCCCTGAAGACTAAACGTTGGACTGTTCCCCAGAGAGCCCAATACCCGTTAATTAAGGAACATAGCTTAAATTATATAGGGCCTCTTATTATGATTTAAGCTACATTCCTTAATTAAGGGGTATTGGGCTCTCTGGGTCTTGGAGGTTCATGGGTGGTCATGCGTATTGTGTATAAGTAGGATAACCATAGCTATGGACTGTATTCGGGGACTTAAAACCCCACTTATGACTACCCATGAACCTCAAAGTAAAGCATTTGAGACTACAGAAACACAAACACAAACCTCAAGCGTAGATGTTGGACTGTCGTGATTGCTCCTCCGAGCCTGTGAGGGGTCAGGCGCCCATGGGCTGAGGAGGGGGCGTTCAGATCAGCCACAAACCGAGAGAAAAATGCCTCAACCCTAGTAAAGTGTCGATTTCAACAGCCCCAAGATCATTTTGATACTTAATATAATGCACTATAATAAACAATAAGGGGAAGTTTACTTTTATCCAAAATTCGATACCTCATTAATGTAGGAGCCTGAGTAAGAAACCTTGGGGTCTTTATTGTCAGGATTCTTTGTATATGCTGATATTTTTTTTTTTTTTTTTTTTGGGGGGGGGGGGGTATTTATAGAACCAAGGTGAGTTAATAAGGCTACATTAAGCCCTGAACATCTAATTGCTGGGGGGTTGAGGGATTCAGAGTTTATAATAGGGAACCTACCCTTCCGCACTGACACGCCCTAGTCTGAAACAGACAGCTCTGGGCCCCACAATTCTAAACCCGTTACACCCTGCTGCATCTTGAAACCTTGTAGCCCTACATCCCGCAACCACCAACCCCAGACCCCACTACCAAATGGCACTCTACAGCCCCAAATCGTAAGGACAGCTATTCCAAAATGGAATAAGCTAAAGGCCAAAGGCTTAGGGTTTTGTTGTTTAGATCTTGGGGCTTTTAGGCTTTAGGGGTTTAGGGTTTAGGATTCAAGGCTTTAGGGTTTTGCAACTTTTGGGTTTCGGCAGAAGATGTCGGCTGTAGCTGACCGGGCCGTCTACTCCTTTGCCCCGATGTACACATCCCGAGAGACTCCAGAATCCCTCAAGAAATTCCTGCAAGAGTACTAAGTGACCACCCTTCAATTAAAATAAAATAGGAAGCTGACAGCCTAAACCCTAAAGTGAGTCCTTAGTCGACTTAAGGAATACTGGAGTCTCTGGGTTCCGCACCCGGCATTCTATGATACTGGAGAGCAAGACGTCTGGTGTCGGGATTCAGGGGTTTGGTTTGCTAGACGAAGTATTCACATTATGATTCATAAATAAACGTACTGGCAATCATGGTATTAACAATAGTACGAACTAAATACTTGTATAGTAATCATAGCCAAGATAATATATAGCTTGCTCTACAATCAAAGTTGCTAGACAGGCCCGAAAGCCTGAACAAGTGTTTCTGCTCGAGGTGCTGTGGAGATTAAGGCGTTAAATTGTTCAATAGGGCCTTGTAGGGTCACAGACAGGGGCTTGAAATAGTTAGAGCCTCCTTAATTAGAATAGGGTAAGGGACATGCTTTATGCAAGTTTAAGGGGCGATAGGATAATTTGTTCTAAGCATTCGCGACCTCGATCTTACCCCGACGATTATCAGACGTCTCGATCCTAGCTCTACGGTGGCCAGCGTGCGAGACTGGACCAGGGGCCCAACAAGAGTCTGCGGATCCGACTACAACCCTATGCCTCCAGGGACCTTACTATGGGGTCCTTAAGGGGTCTAGGGCCCTAACTATGAGGTCCTTGGAGAAATAGGGCAATGCTTGGCTGACTTCTGAACCCCTCCTAAAAGTTAAACTTTTAGCCCCCTTTTTTCTGGTTAATATGGAAACCGAAGAAGCTAAAGTCCTAAGAGCCAACCAGAAGAACGCCAAGAATGGTTTAGGATTCAGGGTTATACTGTTTTAGGGTTAGAATACCCTGGTGGCGACCATTTGAAAGAGTTGAGGCCGCAGGAATACACTAATCTGTGTTCGCTTGCCTGAACCCATCCCTTAGGGTCCATGTACCCATATCTAAAAGCTCAGGACACCAAGTCTGAGACCGACCGAAAACATCGAACTGTTTAATTTGGGGTCTAGGGTTTCGGATTTGTTGTTCAGTGGCCATATAGCATATACTTTGGGCCCAATGTACCTATACAGGGAAGACTGTAGGGCCAATGTATATACCGTACGAGTATGAGTACATGGACCCTTAGGGCATGTAACCTACAAAACCGCTAACCCTGCTTTGGGTCCCTATTCAATTTTCTGGGTGAGATTTGCACTTCCCATCAAGGGAATGCACATCAAGCATGGCCAGCAGAATCGCGAAATGAAAAGGGGGTCAGGGTTATAGGATTTAGCGTTCAGGGCTTAGGGCTCAGAGTTCGTAAAGTGTGGGGCTTAGAGGATCTGCGGGGGCTCCTTTGGCAATTTCGCGGCTCTGGACCCGAATTTGCACGAAGCTAAGGCAGCTAAGGAATGAACATGTCCAGCAGCGGAAGGCGTATGTAGGCATGATTTAAGGTTCCCTAAAAGCCCTAAACCCTACATAAACCGTTAAACATTCGTCTCTTTCAGGAAACTTCAGCCCGTACCATCAGCTGCAGGAGTAGGCCGTTAGGTGGCCACTTGGACATCCAAGCTCCCTGCGATGTCCTGGTCTGCAAGCCGGGATTTGGGGCTTGATTTTTGTTGAAGTTTATGGTTTAGGCTTAGAGTTTAGGGTTTAGGATTTAGGAAGTTAGGGTTTCGGGGTTTAGGGTTTAGGGGGTTAGGGTTTAGGGCTTTAGGGTTGAGGGTTTTGCCTTTGAACGACCCCCGTCACGCTAGGATTCCGAAAAACGGGATTCCGCAGGGCATGTAAGATAAGCTTGTTTCGGGATTGGGGTTTCAGAGCTTAGGGTTTTTACGGTTTGGGGCTACACCGATATGTGTTTTCCGAACATGTAGGTCTCAAAGACTTGTCATACATTCTTACTGTGTAAAAACAAGGCACGGAGGGTGTCTCGATCCTTTGCGCATAGCCATAAACTTGACCATTAGCCCGCATTGCAAGAAACGAGGTGGTGAAAGGTTGGTAGTATAGTTAGAATAGGTTTTGGGGTACGTTATAGTACAGCGATTACTTATAATAGGCAACCCTGGGAAATAGAGTTGGCAACTGTTCTGGCCTTGCAGGCAGAATAGTGGAACACTGCTGTCCATACTTCGCACCACTTTTGAGGCGCTTCAGCAAATCAGGAGCCTGGATTAACCGGCCTTCAAACCCAGGGAACTACCAAAGCCCTAGGCCTTGCCTGTAGCCGAGAAGACCGTCCTTTTGAAGGAACTATATATATATATATATATATATATATATAGAAACTATGATAAGGAACCCTAAGTAAGTAGGTCTATTCGGCTTTACAGGTAAACCAAAACCCTAAACCCTAAACCCAAAGCCTTAAACCAAAACGAACCTTTGGGCCCACAAGATAGACCTCCACGGAGGCTCGCCGCCGCGTGTCCACACTGCGCCTTCAGATGCCCAGGGCGACTAGAAACACGGGAACACGGGTTGAGGATTTAGTGTTTATAGGGTTTTGATTGTTGTTGAAAGCGCCTTTTTCCGCCTGGCAGATAAGGTCAGCAGAGTTTAGGGTTTAAGGTATAGGGTTGGGAATTTAGGGTGTAGGATTCGGGATATTGAAGGTTTGGTTTGGATACGAGGTTCAGCATGTAGCCGAATGCAACTGTCAAGACTGCTTGTCTCGTCCTAAGACAAAAGAACAACATCAACAAACCCTAAACCCTGTCATTCCTAGACCTTGAACCTAATTAGGGTTTAGAGTTTAGAGTTTAGGGTTCTAGAGTTTAGGGTTTGGAGATTAGGGTTTAGGAGTTGAGGGGTTTAGGGGTTTAGAGTTTAGGGTTTAGGGTTTGGGGGTTTAGAGGTTTAGGGTTTAGGGGGCTATTTTGTCGAGGTCCCCGACTGATAGACGAACCTCATATTAGATCCCTAGAAAAAAACCCTGAGGCCCTACACCGCGAACCCTTAACAACAAGAGCAACTCCATACAAACCTTTGAGCCCCGTTGCGTCTCTTGTGACTCTTGCATATACCAGAAGAGGCCTTATACCACCCGATAAAAGCCGACCAAAAACCTGTTGAACAAAACACTGCGTTTGAAGCACGAAACCCTAGACAAACTCCAAACCCCACAGAACATGCCCCTTCCACATCCGTGCAGCATGCACACAAGTCCATGCAATAAACAAAATCCACGCAAGCATACCAAGGAAATTTTGCAAAACCCACCACTCCCTCTAACGCAATTAACGAAAACCTGCTGAACATCGCTTTTCCCACATCAAACCCGCGCGCAATTAATTCATCCTGACAAACACGAGAGCGCATCACCCCCCCCCTGCGCAACCCTACCAAAAACCCATACAAGCCCATGAACACCCCTATAAAGTATCGTGAAACTTGTAACAAGCACGCGACCCCCTAATAGAATCCCCAAAACCGATTACAATCCGTGCAACACCCTATAATATACCCTAAGCCCGAACACCCATCCAAAGCCCTCGCCAGATCTGGCCCAAGTCGCTTCACTGCTTCGATCGCCACCGTAGTCTTCGTGGATGCACTCATCCGCCGGGGTAGCCTAAAAAAGGTATTGGCTTTATATATGGGCCCCTACAGTAGGGTTACTCTAAACCGGGAAGCCCTTAACCCTAACCCTACTGAGACTCGACACTTCGTAAGTCGGGGCTTTGATCGATAGAAAAATGTTCCTCCAAGGGTTCCTTTTTACAGAGGTCTGCCGTGGTTGCTAACAGGCATAGGTTCCTTGATAATTTCAAAAGGGTTTTTTGAGTACGACGGCGTAGGTTATTGCAGTATACTCAGAATAATTACGGATAATATGGAACCGTAAGGAAGACTACTGATCATTATTCAGGCTTCTGTATTAGGAGGTTTGTACGGACATAAACAGCATTTCAGTTTAGGCTATACCACGACCACTGCCACTACTCCGACAGCTCCGGCTGCAGGTACTTCTACGGCTCCGGCTGCGGCTACGACTCCGACGACACAACTAAGACACTGCGGACAACAACAACAACAACAACAACTACAACGACGGATGTTTCTTTCGTTAGGGGCAGGAGTTCGAGTTCCGATTCGGATTCGACTCCGGATGGTGCTTCTTTGACGGTGTGTTCGGGTGAGGGTGCGGGTTCAAGTTGAGCTCCTTATGTGGAGTGCAGCGACAGAACGGATACTACCAATGACATGCCCCGGGCCCCAAGATGATGAAATTTGGAGACTTCACATCCCACAAACGCCGTGAAGCCAAACTCTAAATCATGCATGATAGACACTCGCGAATCGCGCTGACAATAAAGCTCTCTGTGGTGTATGTCCTCTTCCCAGAGAGCCCAGTACCCCTTAATTAAGGAATATGGCTTCAATTATATAGGGCTTCGTATTATGATTTGAGCCATATTCCTTAATTAAGGGGCACTGGGCTCTCTGGGTTGAATATTCAACTCGAACCATGCGATGTACCAACCCCCGAAACCGAAGTACATGCCTTCGGACCAGAACCCTCGGAGGAACCCGGGCTCCACAAGGATTCCTTCAAGGGATCTTTAAGGGTTCCTTTAAGGGATCTATAAGGGTTCCTTCAAGGGATCTTTAAGGGTTCCTTTAAAGGGATCTATGAGGTTTCCTTTGAGGGTTCTCAAGGGTTCCTTGAAGGGCTCATGTAAGGGTTCCTACGAGGGGCTCCTTCTCTAAAGGTTCTATAAGGGTACTTTCTGGGTTCCTCTACAAGAACCCTTCACGTGCGTCCTGAAGCCTCTAACCTTTCCAGTACCCTTGCTCGGAGGTTCATGGGCAATTATAAGTGGGCTTCATAAGTCTAGTTATGCTACTTGTAAACGCTGCTGATAATTCCCCATGAACCTCCAAATGGAGCGATGATAGAACCCTTATAGAGCTCTCATATGTCCCTTCAGGGATTCTGATAAGCCCTGCTTATAGCTAGTCATGGACCTCCTAGTGTGGATCCCTTGCAGAAACCTTTTGAGCGTCTGGCTGGTCGGGTCGCAGCAGCCAGGCCTTCTCAAGGGGCGGCTAAGGACACCCGAGGTCGGGAATCAGTTCTTCCTATGCACTTCTCATAATTAGAAGCGTCTGCGTCTGGTTCATGGTTCGGGGTTTAGCGCTTTCGGTTGTGAGAACCTGTAAATACGTCTCTGCGCCTTATGAGGGTTTGCGGGGCTACCACGAAGGTTTAGGGCTTCAAATGTATGTGAGGGGACTCCACAAGGTGCAAGGGTGTGCTTTGTTCCACAATTGCAAGTGCCGCATGGGTAGTTCCGTAAATTCGAGTGTCCCCACAAGAGCATGCCGGTCTCGTCTTGCGAGATAGCTGAGGTCTAAGCCCGAGACACTCAGTTTGCAGTTGATCTGTCGAAACTCTGAAACTGGCAACCCGAAAGCCACTACAGTCTTAAGGTTTATAGGGTTCACGGATTGTGCCCGAAAGTACAGGCTTCATCCTGAATGCGGGAACTTCTATGACGGAATCCAGAACTGCTCGGACTCATACTTATAGATGCCTTGCAGAAAACCCGTACGAAAACCACATACAACTCCTACCTACAACATACCCTATCAAGAGACCTTAACCCCCCCCATAAACAGAAAAACAACTTGCGAGCCATGAAAGACCTACAGTAATCGCAAGCATCCGCTCAGAAACCTCTAAATATGGAAAAATCCATGGAAAAGGGTAATTATTCTAGAGCTTGAACCCTTCCGCAACCGCCTAAATTCCTACAAAGCTCTGATGTGTTGTTTACAATAAAAAAAACTCTTGAACCACCAAAACGACAAGGCTCCCGACCGTCGCCCGCTGTTTTGTGGAAGCCGTGGAAGCCACGAGGAGCTCCTTCGAGAAAAGATTCTCAAACCGCAAGTCTGAAAATACAACAATATTCCCGAGACACTGAGAGGGAGAGGGAGAGAGACATTGAGAGGCAGAGAGAGGGGGAGAACGAGAGAGAGAGGGAGAGAGCGAGAGAGCGAGAGAGAGAGAGAGAGTTTAGGGTTTAGGGTTCAGGCTTGTTCTATCTCGTTCTCTCCCCACTCTCTGGACAGAACCGCAACTCCTTGATTATGATTATGATTCCCGCTAGGTGGTGTGGCACCTCCTGGACGGTCCTCAGCACTCGCATGTCCGAAACATTTAGCACTCTATGGGCCCCTTCTGTTGTGACGATCACTGACTCGATTTCGAAGGCAGTCCGGGAGGCCCCCCCCGCAGGAACTTCATCCATCATTGTTCGTTTAGGGCTGTTTCTCGCATTGACCCTATCCTTCCAAGGACCTCATAGTTAGGGCCCTAGACCCCATAAGGACCCCGTAATAAGGTCCCTGGAGGCATAGGGTGAGCTCCTGAGGATATTTGGTCTCATGAGGCAGCCCTGGATTCGCAGGGCTGAGGACTGACTCAATAGTTACTGGGGTCTTGAATGTAGGGTTCAGGGTAGTAAGACTTATATGAATATGCGTGTTGGAAGTCGGTTATGACATTGCACCTTCCCAACCCTAACCCCTAAAACCCCAAGCCCTAAACCCCTAAACCCTCAACCCAACCCCTAAACCCTAAACCCCTAAACCCCATCATCCCGTAACCCTAAACTCAACGGCCCAAAGAGCAGACTTACAATGTGCAAACTGCCTGCAGGTAGGCCAAGTCGTTTTCGCCCTTCCTGGATTTAGGGTTTAGGGGTTTAGGGGTTTAGGGTGTAGGTTTAGGGTTTGGGGGGGTTCCATGTCATGGTCGGGTGCGAGCTTTGTCTTAGCGCACACAGCTTATCTCTGGAAAAGCCTTCAATCTTCATGCTTACGTTCCAACTTTCAGCTGTACGAACCATGGCGGAAGACAATGTAACTGGCACGCAAGATGCTGACGGGCATCTTCTGACCATGCGTAATGTAGGGGCCTTAATAGTTCGAACAGGGTTTGGGGGTATATTCTACCATAATTCTAATACCTCTAAACCCTTTTCCATTTATAAAGGCCCCTAAGTTACGCCAAGAGCCTTTCGGATCAAGCACATGCTGCGCAGGCACTGGGGCCCTTCAGAGCTTTTTGGGCTGCACTGGACACCCCAGCAAACTCCAAGACAACACACACTCCTGAATCGCAAATCACACAACCCGCCCAAAGCCAGACCTGCCCAAAGCCTTAGACCTGCATCCAACTCTGGAATTCGATAACACCGTTAGGGTTTGTCGTCTAAGGTCCGGGTTGAGGGTTTCTGGTTCGGAGCTCTAGTGCTTTAAGGCTTAAGGGTTTGGTGTTCAGGTTGACGGCCTGACGACTGGAGCAAGGTAAGCAGCAAGACAAACAGGAAGAGTAGTATGAATAACAGATGGGGGCTTCGCGACTTCGTCCTATTCTTGTTGATGCGGGTCCTACCGTAAGGATAACAGCAATGACGGTCCGATCACGGTCTTCGGAATCAATCGAAACACAGGCACATGGCAATGGCGGCAGAAATTGGACCAGTACCAGTGCCAAGGCTTGAGAGTCCCACGCAGCCTAAACACGAATAGACTGACCTGCTCGCCACGAAACCTCACAACGCTAGCCCCTCGACTCTCAGCTCGCCAAGACCATGGAACACAACAACAACCGGTCCGTGGCAAACAGTATCAAAGCTAAGAAAGGGACCCTGAACCCTTCATCACAACAACCAAAGTGCTGCAACCTACCTGCTAAAACCTCAGACCACTAAAGCCCTACGCCCTATAGCCCCTCAAATCCTAAAGCACCCAACCAAAAACACGCTGATAAAAGAACATTAGCCCCGTTAAGCCCCACGTTGCCAAAACCCTCAGAATAACATGATCAAAACTGAAAGCCACTACATAAAGCACCAATAGTAAGAACACCCTAAACCGTAAACCCATAGAAGCGTCACAAAAACCAACAACACTGACCCTAAACGCTAAACCCTAGGAGGTGCTCTCGCGAGCCTCGGGCTGGAGATCTCTTCTTCGGCCCTTGAAAGGGACTTTTGGACCTTTCAAGCTCTCGTTCGTATAGGGTTCCTTTAACAGGTTCCTTTTGAAGGGCTCTATGAGGGATCCATAATAAAGTTCCGTGATATAGGGGCCTTAATAATTAGAATATGGTTTTGATGAATATTATACTATAATAAAAGTTTAGATACTAAATAAAAACAGAGTCGGTGTTTCATGACATGGGCATGGGATTTGGTGTTGAGGGCTCAGGGTTCTAGGGTTTGGGTTTAGTTTATGGCTCAGATTACGGCATAGGGATTCGGAACCATTGAATCTGAAACCCTAAATGGTGGAACTTTTGTACTAAGAACTTTCAAGTAAGGTAGCCAATTGTGTGCAATGCATTGAAGGATGCCTAGGACGGGAGAATGCAGTGTGAGTATACATGGGTTATTTATACGGCATTTTTCGGGTCATCCTAAGCCTTATATGACCTTACTTCACGGTTGATGTGCTTCTGCGGGTCTCTATCTGCAGCCGCACGAAAACAGGTGCGTGGAAGCCCTGCCTTCAGTACTTCTACGGAGGGGTTCGTCCGAAGGAATGACAGCACCAGCATAAGCACCGCCAGCCCGTTTTCAAGTTGATTCATGTGTATGTCCAACACGTGGACATAATATGATCGAAGACATGACGACACCCACTTGTGTAAGCCCAGCTGCCCACGTGAAGATGGTGTTTTGTTTGTAAAGTTTGCGTTGTCCGTTTTGTTTGCACATATATGGTGGGCAATGGCACATTGCGGTCGTGCAACACCGTGAGCACGTGGCTCAACTCCTCCATCGACCCACATTGCAATGCATCGAAATGCCCAATGTAGAGCAAACAAATGTATCCATGGCATATGCAAGCCGTGGAGGGGAGCCGAGGGAAGTACTTCTATGTGGGGATACTTACCCCTACCAGAATAATAGTAGGAAACCCTACATTCTACTACCTAGGTACTCGGGACCCTTTGAGACGATGCTTGACCCAGCCAGCCCCAGCCCCTGGTTGGCCTCTTAGGCAGCTAAATGCTGCTCGTGCATGATACGCGGCCTCTTCTGTGCCGTCCAGTTGCGTCCCAGGCAAAGTATGAGCAACTTATACTTCGTGCAATGACGCAGGCAGCATGCTGCTTCGCCGAGTGAAACTCCATGCGCGGGTGGTGCTATCTCCATACCGCAACAACGGCAAAGTGTGCAAAGGTTGTGAGTTGTACTGTGGTTGGAGCTATGTTCTCGCAGAGAACGGAGTTTGGTGTCTCAACGTTCATATTGGGTTTTCATGGTTAACTTTAGCGCTGCATTGCGGTGATGCAGAAGAGACCCATTCCAAACCCTGTGAAAAACTGCAGAAAGTCTTTGGGGTCGACAACTCCCATACAACCATGGGCCCTGCGGAGAAACGCGGTCATGCTTTTAGCCCCGCTGACGCCATGTGACTTGTTCTGTGCCATGCCTCGCACCTTCACTTCACGCCACCCAGCGATGGGTGATCCTGAACCAGGCCGAATGTGGTAAGCATCCAAAAATGCTTGTTCGCTGCAGGCGTCACATGCACGTGCATGGACATTGATGAGCCTGATGCCTTCTTATAGTGTAGGTCGTCTGTCTCAGGAGACCACATGTAGACCGAGTCAAGTTGCCTGATTTGTCCTGCAGCCAATGCCAATGTATCTGATGCCCACGCATCCAAAGCCGGCTGCAATCCGCTGCAAACCACGGCGTGAAGACTGTTGCGGCAGACGGGCAGGAGAGGCGTCGCGTTACAGAAGGACATGCTTGCCTTTGGAAGACCATTTTGAATCTTCAGGACCTTCGTGCAGCCGTCAGCTGTGTTCTCAATGATAATGTCTACTTTGCTCGTTGCTGGTGGCATGTTGGAGAAACGAAGAGGTGGAGGTAGTTCTGTAAGTTTCCGTCGGCTACAAGCTTGCCAAGGGTATTGGCACTGCCACACTCCACAATGCCCACATGGGAGCCCATGATCACAGAGGCAGACTTCACGGCCATACAATCGAGGGGCCGGCACACTCCCGCAAGGAAGTCCGAGATGGTCACACGATCGCTCGAGTCGCTGGTGGAGATGTCAAGATGAGGAAGGACCTTAACCTGCCATCTCCGATCGGAAACCTGGTTCATGCCCTCATCTCGCAATCGGCCCGACATTGGCTAGAAGTGTAGTGTACTGGAGCGGAAAGATGGTTTCTGTGCTAAGACACACCCTCGTGACAAGAGAGCCATCTTGACAGCCTTATGCAGTTTCCCACTGGGCCTTGCGCTACGGCGCTATGCGAACCAACAACTCCTGAGCCAACTTGCGGCGCTTTGGATTCTCGCCGGCGGCCTTTGTTCGCCAAGCTACTGTGGATTGGGGGTCCGCCCAATCCGAAGTCCCCTGAAGGACCTCTTGGCATGTAGGTAACGGTGTGGTATTCTCCAACTCGCTTGACGAATACAAGGACGACGAGGAATCTGCGGGTGGAATGCCATCTTTCTCGGGGTTGGTCTCAACAGTGTCGAGGATAAACCCTGCTGTATTCCACAAACCTCCCAATTTCTGACTTAATAAGTGTTGATCTTGAACGCCTCGCCTGTTCCTGAACGCAGAGGAATGTTAGTAATAGGGCCTAATAGGGAAAGAGGTGCATTACTTCGTGCAGCAACCTCACCGGCTCTGCTTCAGGCAACTATACATGCAGATTCCCTCACACATCCATATCCTTACTTTCAAGAGCCAGCAAGGAAACACAATTCCTTGCAAACCGTGAAGGCCCTGAACCGTGTAAATCCTGCAGCGTAGATTCCTAAGCCGTCAACAAACCCCACCAAGAACCAATCCCGAAATCCCCAAACCTGCGTGGAGACAGGCTGAACCCTAAACCCTTGGCCTCAACTGTGAACCGCAAAACCGAGCCAATCTGAAATACTGAGAGGCCCGATCCCAATGGCCCTTTCTGGTCACGAACCTTGCAACTCTAAGCTTGCACAAACGCAGAGTATACACTCCCCCTATAGTTTCCATGGCTGTTCTATTCTTGGTCTAACCACTTTCATATTCAGGATCCTGGTAGGTATCCCGCAAAGGAGCTTCAAGGGAAACAACCGACAAAACCCCTAAACCCTAAGGATCAAAAAAGAACAGCGCTAAACCCGAAACCCCCTAACACGAAAACTTACCCTTCTGGTCTGTGGCTTCCCGGACCTTCATTCGCATGTTGGGCTCCTCGTTCTCTTCCAGGACCCCGAGGTGATCCCGGAGACCTGCTTCTGGGTTCTCAGTTTCGGAATTTAGCTTAAGTTACCATCAATAGGGATCTATAAGGGTTCCTTTAACGGCTTAGGGTTCAAGTTACCATCATAGGGATCTACATGGGTTCCTTTATGGGTTTAGGGGTTAGGATTTAAGTTACCATAATAGGGATCTATAAGGGTTCCTTTAAGGGCTGAGGGTTTAAGTTACCAGAGTAGGAATCTATATTGTTAGGGAATTTAACTTAAGTTACCATGATAGGGATCTATAAGGGTTCCTTTAAGGGTTTAGGGTTTAAGTTACCAGAGTAGGAATCTATATTGTTAGGGAATTTAACTTAAGTTACCATGATAGGGATTTACATGGGTTCCTTTAAGGGTTTAGGGGTTGGGGTTTAAGCTACCATAATAGAGATCTATCAGGGTTCCTTTAAGGGTGTAGGGGATAGGGTTTAAGTTACCATAATAGGGATCTATATTGTTAAGGATTTTACTTATTGAAGTTACCATAACTTAGGTTCCCTTAATCGATCTATGAGGGTTCAATTTAAGGCTCCACGAAGGGTTCTCTAAAGGTCCACGGGGGAAGGAGCCCAATTTAAGCTACCATAATAGGGACCTGTAGTAAATACATATGGTTCCCTTATTTTGGTAAAATAAATCAAACCCCTGAGAGGGAACCCAGCTTTACCCTCAGCGTCACGGAGAGCCCCCTATATGAAAGCAATACAGGTTTTAGGGTTTAAGGTTTAGGGTTGAAGGTCTAGGTTTTGGGGTCCCTGGAGAGTCCCCTAAACATAAGTAATACAAGGGCCTTAAGCATTAGAATAGGATTTTGGGGAATATCATACTACACCGTAGTCATCTTAAGGAACCCCCACAATACTATTGGACATTTCGAGGCCCCTTTACTATGTTCCGCTGCTTACAGGGCTACGGCTTGATTAGTGCAGGAGGCCTCCCAGCTTCACATGGACGTGGTCCTCGGCTCCGGGACGCGTCTTCAGTGTCTACGGATGGAGGGTTTCGGGTCTAGGGGACTTATAGTAAGAAAAAGTTTAGAAAGTATCGTGGTTGTAGATAGAAGCTAGTTTTATAATCATAAGGGTACTGTACCTATGGTTACCTTACTTTTTATCTCTACTTAGTAGGCAATCGATGAATGCCCGACATTCAGCATGTGTGCAGAAACTTCAATTCATCGGGAGGTGGAGGGCGGTGGTAAAAGAGAGTGTGTAAGGGCAAACGGCTCAAGTGTTCTCAAATCTTTACGCATGACAGAAGCAGATGTACTCGCTTCTGGATGCCTCTTAAGCCATATCGTCTTCATCTGGAACACACCTGGCTCAAGGAATTAGGTGTCCTTGAGGTGTCAGCACTCCCAAGGTTCTATCTGGCTGAAACTAGAGCTTGATGCTGATAAATGCTTGCTTGGGTGTTGGGGCTGTGAGGGGGCGATTCGAGAATTTGTGGTTCATTTGGTTTAAAATGTGTTCCGAACCGCTTGGAATGCAGTGTCGACTTATTGTTTCTCCCGACAGCTCTTGCAAAAGATCTCCTTGACGATAAGCGACAGCCTAAATACAAGCAGTACAAGCCTTAAGCCCTTAGAACCGACTACTAAAGTTACTAAAGGCTAGCACCTCAAATCCTCCGAACAAGAAGTAGGACCTTAGACACTAAACCGCTAGCCAGCGTCCCAAAACTGTACAGCTCAAAGCTAGTCTAAAAAAGCTGAAGCTAGAAGGTGCTACACACTCGGCTCTTATCTCTTAGGCTTGTTTTAACCTTCTCAATCCTAAACCCAAAGGGTCCAAGTACCGATATAGTATGTGCTTGGTAGGAAATCGGGCATCCAAAGTACATTCTATACTAATACTATTACTTGGCCACTTTGGGAAAGTAGGAGCCCGAAACCCTAAACTCTAAACCCTCAAGAAGGAGCTTGGGCTTGCACGGCCGGCCAATCGCCCTGACGTCGCTGAGCCTGGCTCGGTCAGGCTCTGTACTGTGTTGACTTTCTGAGTTTAGGGATTATAGGGATTAGGGTTTAGACTTTAAGGCTTTTAGGGTAGGGCTTCGGGCTTACAGGGTTTAGGGTGTAGGATACAGGGTTTAGAGTCGTTTAGGGCGTAGGGCCTGATTTAGCCCTTGGCACGGGTTGACCCAGACTCAAAAACTTTATGCTCATCCAATCGAGTCACCAGGGGCTTGAATAAGCTTTTGTATTTTGAGGTTGGGAAGGGTACTACAGCATAATGTATACCGTATAATTGTATGGACGATGAGGGGATACCTCTATCGTTACTCCAGGCATCTACATAGTGCACAAACGAAGCCATAAGCTGGAAGGAGCTATAGGAAGCAATTCCCTAAGGTCCATGCGCCTTTGTAGCAGATATATTGGGCCCTCAGAGTCAGAAGGGGTTTGCAACCTTAGGGTCAAAGTATGTACTGGCCCGCCTTGATCAAGTCCTCCACAGCCTCCATCTGGCGCTTCTGCCTTTGCAGAGTTTCTACCCTAAACCCTAAACCCTAAACCCTAAACCCTAAACCCTAAACTCTAAACCCTAAACTGTTAGGTTCAAGGTTTTGGGTTCGGCTTAGGGCTTAGGGCCTGAGGACCGAAGGGCAACCGGGCTGAGGGTTAGGCTTTCGTGTTTAGGCTCAGGGTTTATAGTAGACTAGACCCAAGAGTAGCCTAGGAATAAAAAGGGTGCCCTTTTTGGTTTAAAGGGGCTTATAAGGGAATCTGAACCCTAAAAAAGGGAATAAGGGCCTACTCTAGGTCCTAGTAGAAGCCAGAAAGTTGGAACATGGCTTTAGGAGGATTAGTGCTAGAATCCCTTATACTTTACCTTAAGGGCATGAGGAGTCTGATGTTCCAACTTTCTGGCTTCTACTATAGGGTCATGTCAAAGAGGACCTACCCAAAACCCTCAACCACGAATGACAGATTACTTTTTAAACACGAAATCTTAACAGCCTCAATTCCCAGATGCTACACAACCTACACAAACCCATCGCCCTGAACCCCTCGGTAAACCCTGACACCCAAGATGTAGGGTTTAAGAGTTTGCGTTGGCAAACCCTGCCTAGACCCTGAGTTCTGCTTCTCTTGGGATAAACTTTTTGATGGATTGCATCCTACACTAAGAAAGTATAGTATTCCTACTACTTAAACACTAAAAAGTAACCCCAAACCCTAAACGCTAAGCCCCAAACCCGATAGGTAAACAAAACAAGGTGCGACAAAGCAGGTCCGGGATGAATCTGGGAATATCCCCACAAGACCCTACCCTAAGGCCCGAAAGTAGTTCCTTTTTGGGGCTCCTATAGAGAATCCTATAAGGTAATCCCAAAAAGGAACTACTTTGGGGCCTATGGGTAAACACAGGACCCCACCTAGACCCTATACAACCTTCCCTTTGTGGGTTCCCAATTATGATTTCCTTACCCAGAGGGTCCATATACACTACCATTATGGAATTAGGTCCCAAAAGACCATCCCTACGATGGTTTTGGGGACCTAATTCCGTAATGGTAGTGTATATGGACCCTCTGGGTTATATAAGTCCTTATAAAAGGCTACGTGGAAGGGCAGGGGGCTTAGTAAGTCGTGTATAAGTAGGGTTATAGTTGGGGTAACTCCATCTATGGTACTTATAACTCTACTTATACCCTACTTACTAAGCCCCCTGTCCCTCCAAGTAGGTTATTTGGGGTTGAGGCAGACCCTGAAGCAGAACCCCTGAACCCTACACCCTATCCATGCTTTGAAACAAGCAGCCGGTAGCCGCGCAGCGATCCAAAGCGGTGAACTGCACGAAAAGAATGGCTTCAAAAAGGGGAAGGGTACTATAGGGAGGTCAATAGTCTCCATTGTAGCTCCTTTTTTGATTTCGCCCAAATGCTACTAACGATCATCCAATCAGGGAGCCAGAAAGGAACTACAATGGAGACCAAAGGTAGTATTCCCCAAGAACCTCTTCTAACTTTTAGGGGCCATAATATACCCACTAAGTCCCTCAGGCTGAGTCCAGGGTTCTGGGCTTTACTGTGCCTTACTTGGATGCCAACCCTGAAGGCTCCAACCCAAACCACAAAATCGGAATCCTCCAAGCAAGCTGGGTTGACTTTTTTTTTATTTTTAGGTTGATTTGGTTCAGGGTTTAGGGCTTTGAGCCCCGACCACCTCAACTAGAGATCCCAACAGCCCCTCAAACCCGAAATCAAAAAAGCAATAGCCCCAAACCCTCGGCCCCAAGCCCTTAAACCCAAATCCTGAAGCCTTAAAGCATACTATAGGAGCCTAAACCACTTGCCAATGCTATTGTGCTATTGTTTGGGGGAGGGGGGTTCCTTATTGCAACTATAGTATACGGAGCCTCCAAAAACCTATTTTAGTTATTTAGGCCCCTACATTACACCGAAGTCACAAACCCTTGCCTTGCTGTTTTTCTGCAATCCTTCGCCGCTCCTGGCAGATCAAGCTCTGGGGTCTTCTGGGTGTGCGGATTTAGGGTTTAGGGATTTTAGGGTTTGGGGGGTTTGCAGTTTAGCGACTTGAGGGTTTTGGGGTTTTAGGGCTTAAGGCTTTTAGGGTTTAGGGGCTTTAGGGTTTAGGGTTTTAGGGTTTAGGGCTTTTAGGGTTTAGGGGTTTTAGGGCTTAAGCTTGATATAGGGGTCTTGGCATTGGGATCTTCAGGGGGTAAGGGTCTAAGGCTTCAAGGTCTATCCAGAGCCTCCATTGTAGTTCCTTTTTTGTATTGCCATCATTCTTATAAGGATCCTACGGTTGATGATATAAATCCTGCATGACCCCTAATAAGGAATATACCATAATTCCCATAGTTTAGGATCCTTAAGGCAATGCAGGATTTACATCATCAACCGTATCAGTATCAGCAACAGGAATCACAATGGAGACCTTTGGTAGGCCTCATGGTTCAGGGTTTACGGGTTGGGACTTGGGGATAGAGCTCTGGGTTTATCAGGGATGGAAGCAATCTCGGAGTTGGGGATTCGGTTAACCCTGGACAGTTCCTAGGCTAGGCCTTGCGTTTCAGGCTTTAGGGTTTAGGATTTATACACGTGGGCGGCTAGGGCTTACCAAAAGGCCCAGTTTGCAAAGGTCGGTCCCAAGGGAAAGTTCCTTTATAGGACTGCCTTCATGGCCAAACATGCACTACCATCTACGTACATTGAGCGTCATTACAAAATAGATGAGCCGAAACCCTAAAGCCTAATCCCGTGAACCCTAAATCTCTAGAACCCTAAACCCTGGAACCCCAAACCCTAAACCCTAAACCCCTAGAGCCCAAGACCCGAAACCCTTGCAAAAGATGAGCTAATGTAGGAACCTGATTAAGAAACCTTGGGCCTTGATTAGGGTTCCTCCGTATATGAATCCTATAACTCGGGGTTATAGGCCCAGGGTTTCTGACTCAGGCTCCTACATTACCCTGTATCTCCAAACCCTACAAAATAGTAGGTTCTGACCCCTTAATTAGAGGGTAGAACCCTTAAAACGGTAGGTTTTCGGATCCCAAGGGCCCCAAGACTTCCCGCCTGCACCCGCCGATCATCTTCGCGGATCTCGACTACATACAGGGGACCCAGCCTCGCATTTTAGCGTTACAGTAGAAGCCAGAAAGTTGGAATATGATTATCCTAACCCTTCTATGGTAAATTATAGGGTATCCTACCATGAAACCATATTCCAACTTTCTGGAGTTTCCTATAAGGGTTTGGGTTTAGGGCTTAGGCTTTGGCGTTAGGGTTTAGGCTCTAGGGTTAGGATTTAGGGTTTATAGGCTCTAGCATGAGTTAGGGGGGTTAGGCTCTAGGATTGGGGTTTCGGGTGTACGGTTTAGGGTGTATAGGGTTTGTGTTTTGGGCTTCGGTTGAGGATTAGGGTTTAGGGCTTCGGGTTTGGGGTTTAGGGCATGAGCATCAAGTTTGCGCAGGTAGGGCTTGAAAGAAACCCCCCAAAAAGCACCCTAAACCGCAGGAATCACCCTTTAGTTCAATCGCCCTTTTTTTCCGCCCGGACCAAAGATCCTGAAGCACCAAACACGGTTTAGAGTTCAGGGTTGGTTTAATAAAAGGTTTCAATCACGAAGCCCGTAACTTGTCCTTAACCTTGAACTCCGGCATCCCTTGTAACTCCCTGACTTTCTGAAGGCCGTTCGGTACACATGACTGTTGCTCCTTCGCTGTGGAATTGAGTATGCAGGTAAAACATTGTTGCGGGAAGGGAAGAGCTTGCTGAGCTTGCCATCTGAGAGTGCAGGTGAAAACATGAACATAGGAAAAGCACGCCACCAGGGCGTGATGTTCTGATGGAATTCAGGGAATTCAGGGTTCTCTGATCCTCACGGACAACAAGGAACGTTGCGATATATGGAACCAAGATGATGCTCATCTGCGTTGCTAACAAACATTCCAGGCCCAACCGTACCGTGACTTTTGACATCACCATCCAGCCCGTCGAAAGCCAAAACCGCGCACAAATGTGTAAAATCCTTGAGCCCTGCGCAAGAAAAAGCCTCTCTTGCATGAACTCTGTACACCCCGGACACATAGAACAACAACTCGAGCCTGAGCCAAGAAAACGAAACCCTGTACTGTGCAGTACCGGAACCCCCATGCTATGAACCCCTGGACCCTCCAGCAGGAACGATTTAAGGTTTAAGGGTTGGGTCAACTGAAAGCCCCAACGCTCTAAACCAAAAGCATGGGGTTTAGGGTTTGGGCTTATAGGGTTTAGATCTGAAAGTAAGATCCAACCCCTGCCTAACCATCCTACCGCGCTGAAGTGAGCAATGTATTTGACACCAAAAGAATCAGCGCAAGTCTGATATTTTTGGGGGACTACCTGCGTCGCTCTGACTCTGGCTAAAGTCACAACCATCCTGAAATCTAGACCCTACCCCACCCCAAGACCCTAAATCGTAAACCCTGACCGAAAAGAACCTGAAACCCTAAAAACAAGAAACCACGCCCAAAGGGCCTAAAACTCACAGCCCTAGACACCGAATCACTCAAACAAGTAAAACCCGAACAAAGTGACTGAAACTCTAACTCGCTCTGCGAGACAAAAATATAGTCATCTGTTAACTCTTTGGAGTTTCCTCCTGTGTTGTAGGGATGTCGTGGAAAGTCTCCAGACAGTGCAACGGCAACCTGGCTTCATGAAACGCGCCTTTTCTTGTGATGCTCCTTGTCTCTTTAACGACGGTGCACACATAGTTCATCGAAGGAGGAGCGATACTCGTGTGTCATCTGCTGGATCATTGGAACATGTCGTCATCCATTGGGAGCATTGTCATTGATACAAACAGCCTTTTGCATGACGATCATCACCTGGAAGCATCCAATGCACGCCGGCCTGGATCTCGATGACTATACGTCACGCAGCCCCCAATGAAGAGCTTGCATTCATCTCTGTGAAACCTTAGATATTGGGCCCAGATCCACAAGTAAACCTCGACCCTTTCCTGGAAAAGCCAAAACCCAGGAAAATTTAAGGGATGTCCAGGATCTGAAAACCAATACAAATGAACCAAAACCCTTGAACTTCGATTTGAGAAAAGAACAGGACCCTACACGAAAAATGGGGACGGCTCAAGACCTGACCCATCTTAACCCTAAACCATCCAACCCAAAAGCCAAAAACCTAAAAGCCGAAAACCCCAAAGAAATAAACCCTACACAACCCCCTAAAACCAACTAAACCCCAAAGCCCTAATACAGCTAAAGCCAACGGCGCCTCAAGACCTGACCGATCTTTTCCAGCCGGGTCGAGGCCACGGAGAGTTGGATCTCCCTGTGCCAAGACTCCGGGAAACAAAGTGGGTTTAGGGGGTTAGGGGTTTAGGAGTTAGGGGGGGTTTAACAGTGGGGCCTTAGTAATTCGAACAGGGGTTTGGGCTCCTTTATAGTATAGACTCCGGGAAACAAAAAGTTTAATGTAAGGGCCTGTATAATTAGAATGGGGTTTCTTGAAAGGGTTCTTATAAAGGGATCTATAAAGGCTACTATAAGGGATCCAAAATATAAGGGCCTTAGTAATTGGGTTCAGGGGGTACATTGTACTGTAGGTGTCCTTTATTTAAAGGGGTCGTATAAAGGATTCTATATATAAGTGTGTCTGTGAGGGTTCAGTGTAGGGGCATTAGTAATTCGAACAGGGTTTTGGGCGCCTTTACAGTATAGATAAGGAACCCTAAGGAATATAATGTAGATAATTATTGAGGCTTCTGTGTCAGGGTTTCCGGCTTAGAAACAGACAGGCTGTGGCCTTTAAAATCAGGATGTAGGGTTTAGGGCTTAAGGCTTGTCCTTTTTCGTTGTGAAGGCACGCCTTTGTTGTACCTGCCGGCAGTAGACACGCATTCCTGTTAAGCCACGGGTCAGGGTCTAGGGTGTGCGGTTTGGGGTCTGTTCGGCTTTGGCATTAAGGACTAGGTGACTAGGGCTTAACGGGGATCGAACACGTAAGGGTTTCATAGTCATAGGGTGTTATAGGGCTTCTAATAAGGGCGTATGAGATTGAATATAGCGGACTGAAACATTGGACCAGGGCTCCCTGAAGGAGTTTCTTCGAAAGTTAATCGCTTCCCCGAATATTAAAGCCCCCCCAATAGAAAAACAACTCGCCGCCAGGATTTCGCGGTTTCGGGCCCACAATTGAAAGCTAATTAAAAACATTAGGAGGGAGCTAGGATTGCATGAGTCTTAAGAGAGCCAAAGACTACAGCAGTACTAATCAGACCGAAGAGACCAGAGCTTTAGGGTTTAAGGGTTTAGGGCTCAGGGCTTTATAGAGTTTAGAGCTTTAGGGCTTTGGGGCTTTGGGGTTTAGGGCTTTAGGGTTTAGGGCGGGACTGTCTGCTCCACACCCGGAACGGCTGCGTGATGGGCGGTCTTTGTGTCTGGCTCACTACTACTCTCAATCCGACTCATCGTGGATGCCCCGAACCCCCCCCAATATCAAACCAATTCCCGGAAATCTATTTTTATATAAGGGAGAGACGGTGGCTTTTAATATTAGGGGGGAGGGATTAATTGCTGAAAAGTCTGAAACGAGTCTAGACCCCACGAGACCCTTTAAAGGAACCCACCTTAAATACCCCACACCCTAAACCCTCTAAACCACCGAGGCTCTAGAAGGTTATAAGTTATAAATGGAGTTACAAGACCCCTCCTACGTGCTATAACTATACTTATCCTACTTACAACCCTACTTATATCTACCCATGAACTTCCAAGTAGAGAGGGTTCCCCTAACCCCTAAACCCTCTACCCCCACAAGACCTGAATGAAACCAGTTTTTGTCTGATTCCCTGGCGCCTCTTGTCCCAATGCCAGGGCAGGGCCTTTGCCGCCAAGGTGTCGTTCTGGGCCATCATGTAAACCTCTGTAGCGGGGTTTCGGGTTTCGGGTTTAAGGGTTTAGGGTTTTAAGGTTTAGGGTTCAGGGTATAAGTAAACCTTTTGTAGTATAGGGGCCTTAATAATTAGAGTAGGATTCTTCAAAGGGGCCCTTTAAGGGTTACTACAAGGAATCCATAAGGGTACTATAATGTAGAGGCCTTAATAATTCTAAGAGTGTATCATGTAAACCTTTGTACTACAGGGAAAGGGTTCTATAAGGTTTAGTACAAGGGGCTACTAGAAGGTTTGAGTATCTTGCCTTAACAATTACAATAGGAGTTTGGTGCCAATTATACTAATGTAATTATTATAATAAGGACCCCCCCCCCCCCCCCCCCCCGAAATAGTATAGGTGCCATCGTGTCAACCTTGTAGAGGGGCTTAGGGTTCAGGGTTTGGGGTTGAGGGCTGAAGGTTGAGTGAGGGTTTCGAGTAGCATGCAAGATTTTGACCTCTGTACTGGGCCCGAAGGTTTCAGCCTAGGTCGCGGAGAAGGTAGTAGCTGCACCATGCACCCTGCAGGAGGTCCGAGGCATCCGTGAGGATGTGGGGGCTGAGCCCCGTCCCACACCCAAGCCCGATCACCAATTCCAGGCTGTCCCTAGTCCCGGCTCGGCGACAGCGGGACGAAAAGAGGCGATGCCGGCACCGCCCTCACCGCATGTGGCGGTGGGCACGCCGGCTGCAGTTGCCGACGGTTGGCGATCGGCAGCATGCTACCAACCGAGCTGAGGCCTGGACAGTAGTGCTGACAATTGTTGGTAAAACTCCGCAAGACATACTTTCTAGGCCTTTCAGCACTTATCTGAAGGAAATGCCGTCGGGCGCACATCCTTGTACGAAAGTCCCGTGGACGTGCCGAGCCAAACGGGCGCGACACTGGCACAGTCCGTGAGGTGTGGGATTCGTTTAGGGCTTATAGTATGAAAGCGCCTCAAAGATTAGAATAGGGTTTTGGACTGTACTTATAATAAGGAACCCCCAAAATAGCGTTGGTAATTAAATATTTAGGCCCCTATATTGTAGCGCTCAGGCGTAAGCGTGTGTCTTCGGGACTGTTTGGAGCTTCGAGCCTGGGGTCCGTGAGTTCAGTGTCGGACTGCGATAGGGTTTTAGGGCTTTTAGGGTTTTATGGTTTAGGGCTTTGGGGTTTGATGTAGGGCTAGGGGACTGCCTAAGAAAGCCCGAAATCGGCCCGGACCTCCAGTTCACGCTTTGCTGCTTGGTGTCGCATCTTCGAGCTAAGGACTCGAGTGGTGCGTGCAGGGTTCGGGACGGAAGACTTGCAGGTCCGGGTCGGTTTCGGGCCTTGTGGCCAGGGAGTAGTTGCGACTGCCCTGCAAGGCTTGACGAAGGCGCTTGGATCAAAGAAACCCTGATCCCTGGGACCTGTTGCCAGACTCCTAGCATGATTACATGTGTCTAGTGGTAGCAGTAGCAGTAGTAGTCGTCGTCGTCGTCGTCGTCGCGTAGTCGTAGTAGTCGTAGTAGTCGTAGTAGTCGTAGTAGTCGTAGTAGTCGTAGTAGTCGTAGTAGTCGTAGTAGTAGTAGTAGTAGTAGTAGTAGTAGTAGTAGTAGTAGTAGTAGTAGTAGTAGTAGTATAGTAGTAGTAGTAGTAGTAGTAGTAGTAGTAGTAGTAGTAGTAGTAGTAGTAGTAGTAGTAGTAGTAGTAGTAGTATAGTAGTAGTAGTAAGTATAGTAGTAGTAGTAGTAGTAGTAGTAGTAGTAGTAGTAGTAGTAGTAGTAGTAGTAGTAGTAGTAGTAGTAGTAGTAGTAGTAGTAGTAGTAGTAGTAGTAGTAGTAGTAGTAGTAGTAGTAGTAGTAGTAGTAGTAGTAGTAGTAGTAGTAGTAGTAGTAGTAGTAGTAGTAGTAGTAGTAGTAGTAGTAGTAGTAGTAGTAGTAGTAGTAGTAGTAGTAGTAGTAGTAGTAGTAGTAGGTAGTAGTAGTAGTAGTAGTAGTAGTAGTAGTAGTAGTAGTAGTAGTAGTAGTAGTAGTAGTAGTAGTAGTAGTAGTAGTAGTAGTAGTAGTAGTAGTAGTAATAGTAGTAGTGGTAGTAGTAGTAGTAGTAGTAGTAGTGGTAGTAGTAGTAGCAGTAGTAGTAGTAGAAGAAGAAGAAGAACAAGTAGTAGAAGTAGAAGCAGAAGGAGTAGGATGCGTAGTAGGAGCAGTAGGAGTAGCAATCGTAACTAGCAGTCACGAGCAATCGTCGCAGGAAGGGCAGACATCGTAGAAGCCCTAAACCCTAAACCCCTAGAACCCTAAACCCCAAACGAAAAGAACCGTGGAGCCCTCAACACTAAACCCTAAACCGTAGTAGAAGTCCGGACGCTGAACTTCTGATCCCCCCGACCCCATTTGACCCTCAAAATCCCCAAACCCCCAAAACCCTAAACCCTAAAAGCCCTATAAACCCTTTAGATTAGATCCCCGAACGAATCCTATAGAACCCTTAAGGAACCCTTTAAGGAACCCTATACTTGTTCCCTTCAGCCTCTCCCGGGACCTGGAGGCGCCATTTACCCCCGTGGGCACTTTTAAGACTCGGTAGCAACCATAGTCCCCTATAAACATAAAGCCACATAACACATTATGGAACACCAAAGAGAAAAACAAGCAGCTACGAAGCCCTCTAAACCACAAGCTTCTAAAATCCCGTCTCATCGCCGAAAGCATATTCAAGAGCCCCAGCCCCACGAACCCCGATCGCTAAATCAAGAACTAAACAAACCCCTTAATCTGGCGCGCCGCAGCCCTAGACCCTTAACCCTAAACCCTACACCTTAGGCCGAAAAGCCCTAAACCCCTAAACCCCTAAACCCCTAAACCCTAAACCGCTAAACCCTACACCCTGAGCCCAACACCCTAAGACCTCCACCATAGAACCCTAAACCCTATAGATCCTTTTTTCGGAACCCTCAAAGGAACCCTTACAGATCCCTTCAAAGGAACCCTAAAAACCCCTACACCTTAAGCTGGGATGCACTTTTTTTCACGGCCTAAACCCTAAAACCCTAAACCCTAAAACATCAACCCTAAACCCTAAGCCCTAAAACACCTTAGGCCGAGATGCACTTTTGTTCACGGCCGACTCGATGAAATCGCTGAGGGCGTAGTTCGGCCCGCGATCTCCGCAACAGACCTCAGGAGCTTTAAGCGTTCAAGGGACCTCACGAGCTTCCGGCGCGGTTTGTTGAGAGTCTCAGAGGATTTCATGGTGGTTGACAGGAGTTCACAGGATTTCAGAGGGCTTCATCGGATTTCATAAGCCTTCATAGAAATTTCAGAATTTTTCCATTGTTTGCAGTGGATTATGGGAATTATGGAGCCGTTTTGTTCGTGGGCTCGCGGTGTCTGTAGAGCTTGTGAAGCTCTAGAGGAGAAGGGTTTAGAGTCTAAGGTGTGTGCGGGCGTAATTATAGGAGTTGGAGGCGGAGGGTTCACCATCGTGTGTTTTTGCTTGAAGCCGCAGTGCTTTGGCTGACAACGTGTTGGGGGTTGAAGGCTTTTTGAGGTTGACTCGCAGGGTTTGCAGTTCAGGTTTCAAGGTGGTTCACAGTTCGGGGGCCATTCGAACAGGCTCCGGTGCTTGAGATTCCAAAGGTGTTTATGGTCTAGCACTTCCAGGGTGTGATGAGGCTCGGGGCTTCTACTTCGAGGTTCATGCGTAGTTATGAGCTGAGACATAGATACCCTGCTTACAACACTAACCCCCTACACCCTAAACCCTGAACCCCAAACCCCTAAACCCTGAACCCCTAAACCCTAAACCCCTAAACCCTGAACCCCTGAACGCCCTGAACCCTAAACTCTAAACCCTGAGCCCTAAACACTAAACCCTAAACCCCTAAACCCTAAACCCTGAACCCCTAAACCCTCAACCCTGAACCGGATGAGATCGAAGGAGCCTGCTCCATAGCCAGACCCAAATTAAGGACTAGCGTGGCAGGCTAAGAAAGCCCAGTTAACTGCATAATGGGCTCCCCTACCCTAAACACTAAACCCTAAACCCCTAAACCCTAAACCCTGAACCCCTAAACCCTCAACCCTGAACCCCTAAACCCCACTTACAACTACCCATGAACCTCCAAGGAGGCTCTGAGGATCAGGGCTCAAACAAGAGAGCTCCGGGCTTACTGTAGAAGGCAGAAAGTTGGAACATCATTATCGTTCAGGGTTTAGGGTTTAGGGTTTAGGGTTCAGGGTTCAGGGTGTAGGGTTTAGGGGTTTAGGGTTTTAGGGTTTAGGGTTTAGGGGTTTTAGGGGCTAGGCTTTCAGGTAAAATATAGTGAATCCCAGCACTGACCATCTTTCTGGGCTGCCTATACAGCACCAAAGGCTCAAGTGCTCATGCTTCAAGAGGGCTTAAGGCTCGTAAGGTTTGTAATTCAATCCACAAGAGCTTAGGATTGAGGGTCTCGGGTATTATAACTGTAGTGTTCAGGCTGCCCCGATCCAACTCAACACTGCGATACTGGAAACCCTGAAATCCTACTACAAGGGTTTAGGGTGCAGGGTTTAGGGTTTGGATATCAAACCGAAGCCGCAAACCTGTGAGCCCGATTAAATCCGGCTTACGGTTGAGATGGGTTGGTTGGCTTTCGGAAGCTTTAGGGCTTGAAAGAAAATTAGTTTTGCAATCTATGTAACTTATGTGTACATGTGTATATATGCATATATGTTTATCCGCTTTTCTGCACACATACACACATGTGTGTGCTTGCTCGTGTCTATGCTGACTTAAATTTCACCTGTTGGTGGTCATGTGTTAGATTTGCGTTCTTCGCATCTGTGTATCATGCTAATGGATATGCATATACGTACATATATATATATATATATATACAAAACCATGGACTTGACTGGATGCCTAGTGGTCTGTATTAACTGAATAAACAACTATACACATGATCGTAATCACAATCATAAGCATAGTTGAAACATGCATATAGCTTAAACGAATGCGAACATATATTATATGTATGTATGTACGTATGTATGTGCGTGTAAATGTACACATTTAAACAGTACATACAAACAATACATATGAATATCCATCCATCCATCCATCCAGCCATCCAGCCATCCAGCCAGCCAGCCATCCAGCCATCCAGCCATCCAGCCATCCATGCCTGCCAGCCATCCAGCCATCCAAGCCTGCCAGCCAGCCAGCCAGCCAGCAAGTCATCCATCCATCCATCCATCCATCCATGCATCCATGCATGCATGCATGCATGCGTGCATACATACATACATACATACACAATTACATACATCACATATGTCACCGACTAAATCCCAAACCCTCTGCTTCGGCAGGGCCGAGCCGCATAGACTGAATGGAAGAACTGTGTAAATCGACGGCGAAAGGACTTGAAAGCCAGGGCCACCGCATCCTGCAACGTTGGGGGCTTGGGGCTTGCGAGGACCGCAGAGTAACCTTGAAAAGAAACCTTACCTGGAGGTTCATGGGTAGTTCTATATAAGGGTTCCTTCAAGGGTCCCTTACAAGGGATCTATAGGGACTCTGCAAGGGTGTAGGGTTTAGGCTTGGGGTTATAAGTCCCCTAATATGGATTATAAGTGTGGTTATCCTACTTATAACCGTACTTATAACTACCCATGAACCTCCAAGCAAGTCCCATAACAGTGGGTACGCAGTTAAGCTACATAGTGGGGTCTCCGGGGATCAGGGCTTGGACAGCACCGAGACCGAATGACTTCCAAGAAAATCACACCTTCACACTGTGTAACTGCTACCTTAACCCTGAATAACCTACCTTTTTCGGGTTCCTTATTATGGTTTCCTTATATAGGTCCTTAAAAAGGTAGGATATTCCGGGTTAAGGTAGGGTTTAGGGCTGAGAGTTTTCGGGTTTGGGGACGTTTAGGCTTTTGGGGTTCAGGGTTTCTCTGAACTTTCTATCGGACAGCCGAGAAGCAAGGATTCGGGCAGCTGTTGTGATGTTGGTCAGGTTCAAGGGGAAGCGACCCAGCAATTCTTGTAGGGGGTGGTTTTCTAGGTTGTCCCTTTACAGCCTGCGAAAGTGATTCGTAAATAAGATCCTCTTGGGCCCAACCAAAGAAGGGATCTACCGCAAAAGGATTGAAAGGCAACCTGCTGCGATGCCTAAAGCTAAAGCCATGAGCCGAGCCCGTGAGCCATCGTGTTTGGTGTAGGGTTTCCCGACATCATTCATGGACCCTGACCCGTGATCCCTGAAGCCTGAAACCCTACTCCTACAACCCTTAACTCTAGAGTCCCATCACTTGGAGGCCCTTTTGACTTAGTAAGTAGGGTTAGTAAGGTGGGTTATGGGGATTATAACAGGGTTTCTAGGGGATACTAAGTAGACTTACTAAGTCAAAAGGGCCTCCAAGTAGAGTCCCATCAAACTACCTTAGCCTTAACCCTGAAGAACCTACCTTTTTAAGGACTCATATAAGGAAACCATAATAGGGAACCCTAAAAAGGTAGGTTCTTCAGGGTTAAGGTAACTCTAGAGTCCCATCAAACTACTTTAAATGATTATAGTATCCTTAAGGGAGGGGGCTCCAAGGGGGGTATATAGCCTAGTGATCCCTAACTCTCCCTAGGACTCCCTAAGGTTCCCCTAAGGATTCCTTGTACCCTCCCCCCTTGAACCACCCCCCCTTAAGGATCCTATAAAATGATTGCCCCTCCACAGTCCTCGGGGTGGAAAGAGTTCCCTCCCAAGCCGAGCACCTGGGAGGGCAAGCGGCGTTTTTAGACCGATCCATATGCTTTTGGGTTTTAGGGTTTAGGGTTTAGGGTTTAGGGTTTAGGGTTTGTTCTGTAAATCAAGGTCACCTTTGGGATCTCCAAACTAATGCGTCGCCTTCATAGTAAAGAGCTCTAAATGACCCCCCGAAGTCCATGAACGGCTTCGTCTTTCGTTTGTAATGCTTAGGTTTGTATTGAGCGACTGGGCTTCAAGGCATCTGTGGGCATGCATGAGGGTTTTTCTGGGAACAAACGTGTGGTAGCCTTACATAGTTTGTTGTAGGTCGACTGTAGGTTTATGGTTTTGGTTTCCGCGTTACCCTTATGCCTCAAGATTTAATTAGAGTAGCTTAGGGATGGGTTTTGAAGTTTCGGCATTTCTCGATTGTCGCACTACCGCTCGGGCTTTCGTGATCTATCTTCACAGTCGCTCAAAGCGGAGTTAGGGTCCCTAAACCCTAAACCCTAAACCCTAAGTAGGGCTAAGGGTTCAAGGTTTGGGAGTCAAGGTTCAAGCTTCGATGTTTGGGGCTTTTAGTCTACAGTCTTCAAGATCATGCGAAGCGTGAAAAGGCCGAGGAAGTGCTGCCAAGCCTCCACAGTTTCCATGCCATTAAGCCCTACGGCCCTACACCCTAAAACCTTAAATCCTGTACCCTCAGCCCAAAACTCGAACTTCAAACCGTATAACCCTACGCCTCAAACCCTCATCACGCGAAAGAAATGAACTCCGGGGTCTGCTTGGAACTGGCCACTTGCAGAAAGCTCCTGTACCTCGCGAGTCTTCTACAGCCGAAACCCTGAACGCTGTTTGGGGATTTCGGAATGAACAGCCGAGGCGACAGCAAGCTCTGCAGCCTTACAACCCAATGCACGCATTTGTATGTGTATATATACACACATACATGCATACATACATGCATGGTTACACACAGCCACACATCCATAGTACATGCATACATGCATGCATAAACATGTATACACACATGCTGAAGCTATGCACGCACAAACACTTTGCCGAACAAAGAGACCCAAAGCCCTTGGGCCCAAACCAAACTTTAGACCTTGAAGCTAAAGCCCTAAGCAAATAAGAATAACGAACCTGGACCCTCCATCTACTATCTATTACACCCCCCAAAGTTTAGGGTTTAGAACTTATAAGTGTTTAGGGATTTGGAGTTTCGGGTCCCTCAACTAAGAGACTCAGAAAAGCCCGCTAAACCCTAAACCCCGGTTTGGGATTTAGGCCTTTTCGTTTCAGGTTTGGGGTTTTAGGGTTTCGGGTTTCGCCGAAGGAGCTGGAAGAATCAAGGCCGGTTTCCACTCCGCCGAGGTTTCCGGCCCTGCACCTGTGAGGTCACAGGGGTTTAGGGTTTAGGGTTTTTCGGTTGAGTTTAAGGTTTAGGGCTTCCTTTTTGTCAAAGGGTTTAGGGTTTAGGGATTTTTGTTTTCAGGGTTTAGGGCTCTTTTTAGGGGTTTATATGGTTTAGGTCTTAGGCTTCAACAAAAAGTAGGGCTTGTTATTAGGGTTTAAGGTTCAAGGCTTGAAGTTTAGGGCTTGGAGTTTAGAGTTCATAGGGTTTAGCAAATTAAAGCTTCGGCCCTTAATTTCTCATGGGTTTCCTGATCAGGCCCTAGGTGGGGCTTACGGGGTATAGCTCAAGGTCCTGTCTTTACTCCGCAGCAGCGGCAGCAGTTCAAGAACATGTAACATGGCCTTTGTATCCTGAACACTTGACCTAAGCTATAAATTAAAGCAGGTGCCAAACCCCAAACCCCTAAACCCCTAGTTACACCGCTTGCGAAAGGTTTGGGGACTTAATTTACCCTTTTCAAAACGGCCCAAGAGCCTTATATAGTATGGTCTTTGGGCCCAAAAGCCCAATATATGAGACCTTGGAGCCTTAGTGGCAGAATAAGGACACCAACTTAGTTCCCTAGGTTACCCAGTAACCTAAGAATAAAAAGGCCTCTCTTTTTGGTATTGGGAAACTTTATAAGGAACCTAGGACTACAAAAAGGGAATAAGGGTACTACTGGGCATCCTAGTTCCTATACCTTTGTTGTGCGAGGCTCTCTGAATCGCTCCTGTGCCCTCCAACAACTACCCTCCCTCTGACATACCCCAAATACCCACTGTTAAGAGCCATAAGGGCTTTATTAAATGGCTCTTGGAAGGTCCGGGCTTGTGAGAGGTTGACAACTTAACACAAATTAAGTCCCTAAACCCCTATAGAACCCTTAACGGACTCCTGATAGATCCATTGTTGTGGTACCTTAGATTAAAACCCTTAACCCCTGAACCCTGAGTTCAACCCTTATAGATCGCTTGAGGGAGCCCCTTTATGGGTTCTTTTTTGTGGCAACTCAGAATAAGTCCTGAAGTAGAACCATCCTGAAGACTCAGCCTAAACTACAATGACAATGCAAGTGCAAAACCCTAAACGGCCCTAAACACCCATAAATCCCCACTCCTAAATCGCTTGTGCGAGTTTGGAGCTGCTTATTTTGGAATCTCGCCTGCTGCAGTCAGCGCAGCGTGCGCCAGGAGCTCGAGACGCAGCTGGTAGGCCTGCTGTCTGAGGTTGACCCAAAGGCTCCATGTACTTGTATAGTAGATGGTTTCAGGGCTTGTAGGGATTATGGGGTTTGAAGGGTTTTCAGGGCCTCTAGGGTATATTCCTGTTTATAAGGCTTATAGGGTTTATGAAGGGTTTTCAGGGCTTCTGGCAGGGGTTCAGGACTCACAGGGTTTATCGGGCTCCTGGGGTGTATGGGGCTTCTAGAGTTTATGGGCCGTTGGGTGCCCTTCGGATCCATGTGCTCATACAGCACACACGCTGGCCTTATAGGTGTTCCTACAAAGGCACTATACTTCAGGGTCAAAGTATATACTTCCCAGGTACCTGGACTCACACTGGTGCGCGCTTGCGCTGCTGCAACCCTCGGATGTACAGTTTGTGATCTCGGGTTCCAACCGAAAGTCCAAACCTTTGTACGTGCTCGAACCTAATTGAAAGTATCCTAGTTTTGGGTATAGCGGCCCAAGACAGATTCCAGCAATCCTTGATTGTGAGATCCTTCTGTTTAGGCTACGTGGGGGCTTCTTCCGGACGAATTGAAACAGCAGACGCTACCCCAGTGTTCTCCTGGCTAGGCTGATGGGTTGCAACCTCGGATTCAGCAGCATCAAGGCCCTTGCAAAGCTTCGCGAACACTAGGAACCTACATAAATGAGCACGTTTTGGCGGTTTTGAACCTTAACACAACTTCAGATATTGGGCAACTAAAACTGCAAACCGGAGACATGCTACTGTGACGATGACAACGTCGACCGCTGAATAGTCTTGCTGTTTCTGGCGCTACTCCTTGCTATCATGATGGTTCTTGCGCGCGGCTCCCGGGATTTGATACCGAAACCCTGGACCCTGAACCCTAAATCCTAAACCCGGAAACCCTAAACCCTGAACCCTGAACTTTGAAGGTTTGAAGCTTCACAGCTTTTGGGCTTGGCCCTGCCTGCGCACTGTCCGACTCTTGGTAGACCGTGATTCGGTCACCAGCATCGCTTCCTTAAATCAGGGCTTGAGGTTTAGGATTTTTGGGGCTTCACAGGGACGTTGCCTAGCGATGTGAGTTGAGGTTGTACGTACGCTTGCAAAGAGTATGGCTGCGAGGCCCCGCATCGTAAGGACTCTGCACAAAGCTCACCATGGCCACGGTGCAATTGTTTTTCTATTCGGGTACATGGACCCCTCTATACCCCGAAATATCCCTAAACTCTATGGTACCCTTCAAAGGAACCCTTTTGGGGCTAGAGAGAGGCGCACCCAATCCTTGGCCCACGAACTTCGCACTGAGGCGTTTGAGGCAGCAGGTTGCCAAGTCGTGGTCAACACCACATAGCTGGTGGAATTTCAGGCAGTGGTCGTGCAAAAGGAGCATGCCAAGCTTTCTTGACCGAAGCCAAATCGCCTCGGTACTTGTCCAGCAACAGCGTACTTGCAGGTTCATGGGCAGTTATAAGTAGGGCTATAAGTAGGATAACTACAGTTATAACCCATATTAGGGGACGTACAACCCCAGTTATAACTACCCATGAACCCTAAGCCCTATACCCTTATATAGAATCCCTATAGATCCCTTTACAGGGACCCTTATAACTACCCACGAACCTCCAAGTGGAGGGTTCTCCCACGGCCACATAGGCCTCGTTGCCTTCCATCTCTGCAGGCTTTTGGCTCTGCAGGCTTCTCACATGCAGACGAGTGCGTGTGATGAGGATGATGTTTATGGTGATGATGGTGACCATGATCATGATGATAATGACGATGATGATGATGGTTTCGATGATGACGATGATGATGAGAATGATGATGGTTTGGAAGATAACGATGATGACGATGATGTTGTTGTGGATGATGACGACCCTATAGCGCATCAACAACTCCAAACAAGCCCTTGAAGGAACCCTCAGAGGAAACCTAAAAGGAAACTCTTGACAATGATTCCGACCCCTGTATTACGACTCCTCCCTCTACAGGTTTTCAATCCATTCGAACAAAATGATAAACTCTAAAAGAGCCATCAACGGAACCCTCAGAGGAAACCATAGAAAACTGTATTCACTCCCCCCTCCATTGGTTAGAACCCGGAATGCCAAGCCTTTACACAGGGACTGATGATTCCAAAACCCTAAATCCTAAACCGTACCACAAGCCTGCCACCCAAAGGCAAGGTTAGACCCCAACCAGGAACCCCCCAAGTGCTCTTCAATGTAGCCCTTATGGTCGTTCATAATTGGCATTTAAGCTATGATAGAGGGTAGTTGCGGGGGTTCAGGCAAAGCCCCAAACCTTTTTGTTTAAGCCCCCTTGTCTCTCAGCGTGCACTGATAAGCCTCAGCAATCCCCAAAGCCTTTAGGGCGTCTAAGAGTTTAGTGCCCAACTGACGGCGCAAAGTTCAGTCATCTTCCTCTGTCCTCTGAACATTATACCGTTAACTCCCCAAAAGTAGGTACAATAATGGCCCAACACCTATGAAAGGCTATTAGTCTACGTATTTGTGGGATTCGGGTAGGGCTTCTTGCGGGCCTACATGCATGCGAGGACCAGTCATATGCCTGATGATAACGCTATCTCGACTCATCCTGGGATTCTGCGTCCAATGTAGGTTCTACCTGGAGTTTCGGGTTTAGCGTTTCGGGTTCACGGTTTAGGGTTCTACCGTACTAGTTACTTCCCATAACCTGCTTTTGGTCAGGTCCCAATACAAGCCCGAGTATAGCTTTAGAGGGACCGAAAACGTGGTCGTGGTAAGCTAATGTAATTTGAAAGTCAGGGTGGTGGTGACCGATGTTTCAACTACACTTTAACCCTGCTTCACAAGTCAGGTGCAATGATCCTCCAAGCCCTAACGCCCTAAACCTTAAACCCTAAGCCCGAAACCCTAAGCTTATGCCCTAATAGCCCTAAAAGCATAAACCCCCATGCAACCTGAGCCCGCAACCCCTAAGGCTCCAAGTACTACAATTATGGCATATACTTGGGCCTTAAATGGGTGCCTACACGGGTACTGCAAGGACTAAGTATAGACTATAGGGTACATGGAGCCTCGCACCCCTCCAGGGCTCAAGCATATGCTACATAGCACATGGAGCCTTAGGGAACGGCAAAAAACTGTAAAGAAGGAACTTTCGTCTCTGCTTTGCAGCCCCAGCGTCGTGCGATCCGCAAGGAGGGTCGATTCGTCCACAGCGCTGTGGCGATGATGTGGCAACGCACCGGACTGCCCAGAAGCTTCGGGTAACTAGGGTTTGGAGTAAAATATTTCATTTAGGGTTCAGGGTTGAGGGTTTAGGGTTCAGGGTTTGGGGTTTAGGGTTGAGGGTTTAGGGTTCAGGGTTTGGGGTTCAGGGTTTGGGGTTTATGGTTGAGGGTTTGGGGTTTAGGGTTCAGGGTTTGGGGTTTAGTACAGGATCTTACACCCCACATGCTACATCCTAAGCAGGAGCTCCGTCTCCCATGGATGTGGGGGCCCCAGGAAACAGAGGACAGATCTTACAGCTCCTTGGGCAGAGTGCTGCGAATAGCTGAAGATACGATATGCGTCATCACGAGAGGTATTCCTCCTCCTCCACACTACCATACCTACTTGTTCAATGTAGGTGCTCAAAACACCGTAAGAGAGAATTGCAACTTCTTCGAATGCTCACTGTAAACCCAAATAGTCTGTATGGACCCTATCAAGAGTATATATGCTTTGGTAGTGTAAGGTCTTTGCACAGGATCCCTTAACAGCTTGATCAGACCTCTAGAATACAGTACAGAGGCCTGAAACATGATTCACAGCCTCCTGGTTACTGCTTAGATTCATCCACACTTATAGATACCCTAAACCCTAAACCTGAGATTTCCTAGGTCCCTTGAAGGGACCGTCAAGGAAGCCTTATAGATACCCTAACCCCAAAGCCCTAAACCCTACGCCCAGAATTCCTTCACTTCCCTAGTTGCCACAATCTGTCTGTATGTCAACATATAAGCTAGTCCGAGAAGAACAAAGGACAACATAAACACAGTCCCTCTCCGGGTTAAGGGTGCGCCGACACCTTCCATTGCATGACATCGCCTGAAATCGCTCTGGCACAACCCAGTCAAACCCTAAACCCCTAAACCCTAGACCCTAAACCCCTAAACCCTAAACCCCCCAACACTTAAAGAACCGTCAAGCTCCCCGATGAATCGCTTGAGCTCCGTCGTCGTCAGATATGGTGGGCTCTTTGGGCCCGACATCTCCATTGAATTGCTCGTGGCAGAACCTTTAGGGTTTAGGAGCTTAGGGTTTGGGGTTTAGGGATTTAGGGGTTTAGGGTTTAAGGGTTCAGGGAGAGCTCAGCAAGTTGTTGCATGCCGTGATGGCTTTGGTTCTGGGTATAATCGCCATCGTCGCCTGTGCCGTACTTAGGCATCGGTCAGTTCTTCAGCGACACTCAGAAGCGCGGAGCCTTTGAAAGCTATCTTCTGCCTGGACACTTCCATGGCCTTCTTAATGAGCCCAGGTCAGCGTCAACAAGTTCCCAATGAGCGTCGAGACGCCGCTCTCGATCTAAATGCAACAAGGCGCTGGAGGCTGAGTCGCTGCCACCAGGCCAGGAGGTCCTTTTGGGTAATCCTTGGCTGTTCTGGATGTCGTGTCATCCGGGTGTTCCTACAAGAATTGTGCGGAAGATAATGCGGCAATCACTGCGCACAGCGTGGTCCTACAAGAAGTGTGCGGAAGGCTCAAGACTCACGAAGCAAGGCAGAGGCCTTCTTGAGGGTCTGGACTGCGGAAGCTGGCTTCTTGTGGACCTTCTTAGCAACTGACTTCATTTTCGGCTGGTGCCTTCTTGGCAGCTGGTTTTTTGTTGGGCTGACGCTCGCACGGCGGAATCGGACAATCACGCTATTGCCATGCAGAACCTCACCGATGGCTTCGGCCTGCGTCGGTTGAGAGTCCAGAAGCATAGCTGAGCTTGAGTAAACATTCAAGCAATTGCCGAGTTGAGGGTAGCCGACGGGCCAATGGATGATCGCCACACTCGCTGTGCATGTTCTACTTGGCGGTTCATGGGTAGTTATAAGTAGCGTTTTAAGTAGGGTAACGAGAGTTATAGCCTAAAATCGGGGACCTATAACCCCACCCATAACTACCCATGAACCTCCAAGTAGTCACAACGGAGAACCCTTTAGGCTGCCCTGGCATGTGTAAGCGCGAAGATTTCAGCCCAGAATCTGCGTCTAAGCATGCGTCTAAGTCCTGCGTTTTACGTACCAAAAGCCTAAATTACCCTGAATCATGCAGCTTGAAAGTCTAACCCTAAACGCTAAGCCGCTATATAAGCCCTAGACCCGAAGCCCAGACAGCCGAAACACTAGACGCACAAGACCGAAGACACCCTAACGTTAATGGGTTTTTGTGTATACAAATTTGATATAACTATAGGTTGGGCAATTCTGGGACTAGAGAGGGTATTATTGTATTAGTTAAAGACATTCAGACCTCTACATGAACAAAGAGGCACCCAACAGCTTGGCCTCGCAAGAAAGGGGTATCCATGACCTGCATTTTGGAAATGGAGCTTCCGTGAGATTTGGGGGTCCTTACTGGATCAACAGGCGTACTAAGTAGGGCTTGATTCGGGCTCTTATTGGGTCCTAAACCCTAAACCCTGAACCCTAAACCCTAAACCCTGATCCCTAAACCCTCTATATCCTAAACCCTAAACCCTGCTTGGTAGCAGAACTCCCCTGGTCCTTACAGTGGGGCTTGTGGGGCTTAAAGGCTTCTAGGGCTTAAGGGTTTTGGCGTAGAGGGTTCAGCGATTGGAGATAGGCTATGGGCTTAGTTCAGGGTTTATAGGGTTAAGGGTTTCCCTAGAGGGCGAAGTACCCAATCATCATATACTCTCAAAAATAGTAACCTACATAACTACTATCCCAAACCCGAGTACCTAATTATTGGGCCCTTTGGGCCCTTAGGGTTTCGGTTCAGGCGTACCTGCAAAACCCCAAAACTCTAAATAGGCTCACGCTCCGAAAGCCCTCCTGGCCTCGGTTTTCCCTGAAACGGATTGAACTACGGTTGATGATATAAATCCTGCATTACCTTAAGGACCCTAGACTATGGGAATTATGCTAGATTCCTCATTATGGGTAATGCAGGATTTAAATCATCAACCGTAGAATCGGAAAAGTAGCTGGTACCTGGAGGCGCAGACCCTACCCCTTGCTTAGGATACCTGGTTTTATGGTTAGGATCTCGTATCTTAAAAAGTAGGTGCCCTAAACAAGAGGTAGGGTATGAGCCTCTAGGTAGTATCGGGAGTTGCAAATACTGTTTCGCAAGGTCGACTCAGGGTTCCTAGTGTAGTTACGGCATAGTATACGCGCCAAACATTGGTGCCTCTACAGTGCTTCGCAGGTTTGAAGCGGGTGGGCATGGTCGCCTATGAACTTCCGGCGGGGCAGTGTATTCCCCAGCCTTGGTAATTCGAATAAGGTTCTGGAGTATAGTATATCAAATATATAATAAGGAACACCCACGCCCAAACCCTAAGAGCTAAGCCCCTATCTTAGAAAAAGCAAACTCAATGCCGAGGAGTCTCTGCGTCCCCAGGGGGGCAGACATCTTGAAAAAGTGAAATCCTTAATCTAGTTACCCCAAACCCTACCTGTGGCCCCAAACCCTACAAAATAGTAGGTTATGACCCCTTAGTTAGAGGGTAGAACCCCTAAAACGGTAGGTTTTCGGATGTCCAGGTAGACCCTAAACCCCAGACTCGAAGCCATGAACAGTAAACCGCGAGAGCAGTGAACCTTGAACCCAGCGACTTCGTTTCTCCTCCATCACCCAAGCGGGTCAATGTATACTACCATTATGGAACTACTTTGAGGTTTATGGGAAGTTATAAGTGGGGTTATAAGTCCCCTAATATGGGTTATAACTAAAGTTATCCTACTTATAACCCTACTTATAACTACCCATGAACCTCCAAGTAGGTCCCCAAAGACCATCCTTGTCACATAACGATATGAAACCATCAAACACACACGTCCTCCACAAGCCAAGAAATATAGGGCCTTAATAATTAGACTAAGGTTTTGGGGCCCGTTATACTATAACTCTAGTAAAAGGAACCCCCAAAAATGGTATTGGTAATTATTGAGCCCCTACCTTAACCCCAAATAACCTACCCTTTGAGGGACTTATACAAAGAAATCATACTAGGGGGCCCTAAAAAGGTAGGTTCCTTAGGGTCCAGGTACATTAGACACCCTAAACCCTAAACCCTAAACCCTAAACCCTAAATTCTAAACCCTAAACCCTAAACCCTAAACCCTAAACCCTAAGAACCCGAAACCCCGAAACTCAAGGTCTGAAGGAGATGCGCCCGTTGCCTTGAGAGCCCCGGATGCAGGAGACCTCGGAGGATAGCAACGTACGGCTCATCGACGAACTTCTAAGTTTAGGGTTTTTAGGAGTTTTGGGTTTAGGATTTAGGAGTCAGGGTTTAGGATTTAGGGGTTGGGGTTTAGGATTTAGGGTTTAGGATTTTTTGGGGTTTAGGGCTCTGCATAACATACAGGACCTCAAGCTGGAAATGCAGGGCTTTGTCCTATCTGCCGTCTTCGGGCTTGGGGCAACAGGGCTTTAGGGTCTTAAGGTGTACAGGGTTTTGAGCTCGCCAACCCTTCCCTGTCTCCAAGTCCAAATAGGGCATACACAGCTACTCCACCAAAGCACTCAACCCTATGACCACAGACTGAGCGCAGGTGATTGCAATCTTCTCCTGCTTCTTGACAGACTTGCCACCTCCGCGGAGCTTAGTACTGAGGTAACGGCGGTTCCACAAGCAGTCTCCAGTCACGACCCCTTCGTGTCCAAGAGCCAACCGATTCGATCTGGTTCTGCGGAGGAAGTGACAGACGCCGCTCCTGGCACGGCCCTGAAGTAGGAAAAGCAATCATTGTAGTCAACAATGGTCAAGTCATCGATTGTTTATGGGGTTGCACAACCATTCTTCACAGCAAGCTCTTCCCCACCTTGACTGCAACCTTCTATCGATTAGGGTTATAAGGTCCGCAGCTGCTCGGAAAGGGCTACTGTAAGGGGTCCATAACGCTACCATAAAGGTTCTATCAGGCTACAAGGCTACTATAAGGGTTCGAGAAGGATACCGGATACCATGGTCGGGGGTACATTGTAGTAGACCTATAGGCTCCAGTTTATGTAGTTCCTTTTGGTGATACCTTCTACAAGTAAGACCCTACATGCAAAACTGGTCAAACCAGGAAGAGGGCCGACTGGTGGAGGTGCTCTTGCTTCGCGCTTTGAAGGAGAGGGAGGGAGAGGGGGGTAGGGTTTAGGGTTTAGGGGTTAGGCTTTTTTTTTTTTTTTTGGGGGGGGGGGGGGGAGCTGTCAATTGGCCTCCTAATTTCTGCTTGGGTCCATAGTGGGATGCCTCGTTTCCTACAATGCAGATGTGGCGTTCGATGGCGAGGGGACGAGGGATTCGTCGACACCACAATACCACAATCTGGGTCGTAACTCAAGGGCCCGTCCCAGAACGAACAGGTACCTCAAAACACCCTAAACCCTAAACCCTATAATCCCTAAATCCTAAACCCTATAATCTAAATCCTAAACCCTACACCCTAAAGCCTATAATCCTAAATCCTACACCCAAAACATCAAAACCCTAAATCCTAAAGCCCAAGCCCGATGAGCTCTCCTTCGAGCCTCTAACCACCCCCCCCCCCCCCACTGCCATAAGAAGCCCTGACAGCGCCGAAAACCTGAAGGACCAAATGACCCTTAAAAGTAAGGGCCCTATACACCCTCAGAGGTTTCGGATTTAGGGCTTTGGGTTCAGGGCTTTAAGGCTCCAAGGGCTCATAGTTCAAGCTCTAAGGACTCATAGTTTAAGGCGTTTGGACCTGAAGACCATACTACATAAGGCTTCTGGGCCGTTTTGATCCTTCGGGTTATGCAATGAAATCCTGCATGATAGATATCTGAACCCTGCCGCAAACCCTTGTGGGGTACGTTTCGCCCCTCAAGAAAAGCCTTTTCTTAAAAACCAGAGAAGCCCTGAAAGCCTGATAAACCCTGGGAGTCACCCTAAACGAAACCCTGAACTGAAACCCTAAAACCCTAAACTCCTAAACCCTAAAGCCCTGAACCACTAAACCCTAAAGCCCTGAAACCCTCTGCCTGCATCTTAGACGACCGACATGTTTATCATGATTTCTATTGGTATAACCTGTATACACATATATTTATCTATGTTAATCTATATATATATATATATATATATTGTTTTATGTAATTATACACTTATTTGTATGTGCGCTAGAAAGGCGGGTCTCTTTGGGGATCAGGTGAGACCTGAAAGATACATGTGCCCTCAAAGCCATGAAAAACCCTGAACTCCTCCAATACAAATTAACCTAAACCCTCTACCCTACATCCTAAACCTAAGCCCTTAAACCCCTGAACCCGTGAACCCCTGAACCTGAAACTCTAAACCATCGCTCCCATAACAAATGGAGCCTCAAAGACCCTAAATCAATCTTTGGCCGAGGGGCGTCGTAGGCTACGAAGACTTTGGGAAGCATCATATTGCAGAGGCTTCTGCGCAGAGTATTCGGGGTAGTGTAGGGTCTACCTGGACCATGAGAAACCTGTCTTTTCGGATTCCTTAGACTGATTTCTTTGTAGGAGCCCTTAAAAAGTAAGTTATTTGGGGGGGATTAGGGCTTTGGGGTTTCGGGTCGGGGTATAGGGCTTCAGGTTGTGATCAAGATTCGGACTTCGGTTTAAATTTGGTCGCTTCATTCGCGCTTCAACTTCAGGTTTTTGATAAATTTCAAACTTCCGTTTAAGTTTTTGCCCAGTGTTTCAGGCTCCGGCAGAGGGGGGATGAATTGCGAAGCTACTGGTTTGTTTTGCTGTGCGAAGGATATGAAGGGTAGATGCACACTGATACCGTGTGAGGGTTACTATAATAAGTACTAAGGGAACATAAAGGGTTTAAAAGATGAGGAAGGTTGCGATTATAGGGATGATGAACACATCCTGCACTACGCTAAGGACATTTAAAACTAACGGAATTCTGGTAAACCCCATTGTATGGATTCCTGCGGGAAAACTCTTAGAGTCGTTACTGCGGGATTTTACTTTGTCCATCCACAGTACCATGTCATCCACCCGTCGGCAGCTAGCCTTTAACAGCCATCAGCTTCGTGAACAACCTATCTTCAGACTTCGACGATGGAAGCCGAAACCCTCCAAACCCAAAGCCCTGAACCCCGAAAACTGAGAGCCATAACTCCCCTACACCTTCAATGCTGAAACCCTGATTCACATACCCAGAACAGTCCATGTCAACTCTGACCCAAACTGTGCATAGTCCACTCTCGATTCAGGCGTTTACGTGCTTCTCCGACTCCCCGGGTCTCTGTTTAGATTTTACTTGAAGGTTGATGGGTAGTAAGAAGTTGGGCTTGTAAGCAGGATAACAAGAGTTATAACCTATACTGGGGGACTTGTAACCTCACTGGTAACTACCCATGAACCTCTTAGCAAGGTTTAAGTACTTTATACAGATCACACGACGCCAACAGGTTAAAGGAGAGAAACCGCACCAAGTTTCGAAGGCCTAGTCCTGTTCCAGGATTTAGGGCTTAGGGTTCCCAGAAAGCACACACATAGTACTACTATCGATCTGGGTCCCCAAAACCATACTAAGGATCTTCCTTTGGAGCTTAATTCCATAATCGTAGTACATATGAACCCTCTGGGTGTATTTAATACGCCGCTCTCAAAGGCCGGACGAGAAAACCAACTGCTTTCACCAAGAGGCTGCTGCATAGATGCCTTGCCCTTCTTCAGCTGCGCTGCCTCGTTGCTGGAGCTTTCCCCAAAAGCCCAGTAATCGATGTTGTGTTGATTGGCTCAAACCCACCATGAAGGGTCTCTTTACGGAACCCTTGCAGTACTAGAGACCCCTTGATCAACCTTTGCGGAACCCTTGTAGTACTATAGACCCCTTGATCAACCCCTTCTAGTCTAGTTCCCTTGTACAGGTAACTGAACTCCCAGCGTGTATGCTGCAAAGGGCACTGACGGTCTCAAGCATGCTCTAGATCTGGTACTGCTTGAAGATGCTTCAAGTAGTGTCCAGGTTTTTAAGGCTTTACGGTTTAGGGTTCAGGCTGTAGGCAGTAGGCCGGGTTTCGGGTTCTTAGGGTGCAAGGATCTGTTCGAGCAAAGAAGAACGACCAACTGTATAACGTGTCGAGGTCTTGAAACATTAGAACAGGGAGTTGAGGACAACACAGAGGTACGATGTTCAGACCTGCATAGGAGTGCATTGCAGTTCTTTAGGAACGTAAACACAGCGTTGCATGGTTTCTAAGCTTAGCTCCACTCCACCGCAGTTGGGCTAGTCTGATGCTTAAGAACGGCTTGAGGAATAGTAAAAGCTTCCTGCTCAGAGTCATGATACATGGAACTCTATGTTTGCGCCCGCTCACAAGACTAGGTACGAGATTCATCCACTTTCCAAACCGTGCCCAAACTGTTATTAAGCCCTTATTACCAAACCGCGTTCTATCTATCTATCTACCTACCTGCTTACCTAGCTGGCTATCTCCCTATCTATTTGTCTATCTATCTATGTGTCTACCTACGTATCTGCGTATATATCTATATGTCTGTCTCTCTTTCAATATTAGCTGCCTATGTGTCCGTATGAAAACCGAAATCAGGCCAGGACTGCTTCCACCATGCATCACGACGACTTCATAATAAGTTAATGGCAGCACTAGTGACTACCTAGTGTCTCCGTTGTAGTTCTATTAAAAGGATCCGAACCCTGAAACTGGTTCACCAAAAAGGAACTACAAGTTTGAGGAGAGTCTTTGTGTGCATTATGGTATGAACATAATCAAGAACCTGAAGGAATAAGTTCTGTGACTAGTCGGGCTTCTATGTTGCGGAAATCACACAAGACCCGGCGAGAGGTCATGATTCCGAAAATCAGTAATACTGCAGTCTCCAATCACTGACACTATCCAAAAACCCTATTCTAACCATTAAGGTTCCCAAAACCCCCAAAGCTCCGAGATCCTATCCCTAAACCCTTTTGCACAGACTTGCACATGCCTGCCCTAAACTCTGAACCTCAAACCACAAAAACCCTAACCCTAAAGCTCTAAGGACTCCTCATATTTTAAGGCTTTTGGGCCTAAAGACCATATCGTATAAAGCTTTTGGGCCATTTTGAGCCTTAGGGTAATTAACCCCTACACCCGAAGCCCTGAACACCGAAACACTAGAACCAAACCTTGAACAAACCAAGCCGCTGCTTGTGTGTAGAACCGGCGGAAGTCGGTTCTTAGCTGGGCGCAGTGTGGCCGCAGCGATGTTGTGCCGAAGGACAGATTCCCTGGAGGCTTTAGGATTTAGGGATTTAGAGTATCGGATTCCTGGAGGCTTTAGAGTTTGAGGATTTAGGGCATCGGATTCCCAGGAGTTCGGAGCTTGCGTGAGATTATAAGTCGCACAACCATAACCTTCTTCTTGGAGGTTCTTATGAGTAAAGCCTCATATCTGGGACCCCCAGAAACCGAAGAATAGAACCGGCTCCCCTTTTGCAAACGGACCTGCGGGGAGACCTAGATACAGGCGCAAAAAGTACCTACTCTAACGATCCGTGAGACCTCAGGCTCAAGACCTTCTTTACTGTTAGTGCTGGGATCGCTCCCAAGATATCTCATCGAATCCGACGCAAACCCTACACCCTAAATCCTACACACCCAAACCCTAAACCCTAAACACCCAAATAACCGGCCCTAATGCCTAAACCCTGCACACCCAAGTAACGGGAGCCTGTGCCAGGAATTCGGATTTTTGGGGCTCAGATCGGCCGCCTGCGGCGTCAAACTCCAACAGCTCCGTCACCACGAAAATGTCGCGGTGGAGGTGTCCGAACCTTCGTTACCCATTTTGAGGCCCAACAAGCACATAAGCAAAAATTAGGATAGGGATATCCCATATCAACCCCCTTATACTGAAGCCCCATAAGGTGGGGCTATCCCTATAAAATGCTTACGAGCTTATGCTTATGTCCTTTTTGGGGTCCCTAATTTAAGCAACAGCAAAATGTGAACAGGCTTTAGGGTTTAGGGTTGAGGGATTTGAAATAAAGGTTTCGGGGTTTGAGGTATACTTTACTATCGTCATGGGGCTTTGGTCCTTGCAATAACGTTCGGGGTTAGTAGCCCTTCAAGAGACCCTGAAAGGAAGCCCTTAAAACCCCTCAAACCCCTAAAAGAACCCTCAAGACCCTAGAAGACGCTGCGTATAGAACCCCTAAACCAACCCCTTTAAAGAATCTTGGGGATCCTAAACCCTCAGCCCTAAACCCCTAAACCCTAAACTCTAAACCCTAAACCCCTAAAACCTCAACTCCCAAACCAGCGCTGGGAAGCCCCCGGAGGTGGCTGACGATGTCGAAGCAGGAGGAGTCCGTCACGAGAAGAGGCGGTGGAACCGCCTTGGAGGGTGTCTTTAGGGTTGATGGTTTAGGGTTTAAGGTTTAGGGTTTAGGGTTCAGGGTGTCTGCTTAAGGCTTAGAGCTGACTTGTTTAGGGTTCAAGGGTTTAGGGCTAAGGGCTTATAAATAAGGGTTCCTATGTTTGAACTGCACTGTCTATGTTCTGTTATGGTGGCCTTACACGGTCGTGTGGGGTTTTACAGGCTTTGCAAGGGTTTGTAGGAGCTTTGACGAACTTGAGCCTAAACCCTAAACTGGGATCTGTAGGCCTCCTACGGGTTTTACCTCGGGTTTGGGTTCTGGGTAGTGTTGCACGGGCTTTGCTTAGGTTGTCATGGCTTTTAATCGGTTTGTGCGGTCGTTATACAAGTCTTTGGGTATAGTAGGACCTTAGCAGTTAACAGCGCTTGACGAACAGGGTGATGGACACCATCGACACTTCAGTTGAAGCCTTCCTTACTGCTAGTGCTCCCAGCTACTCAGCAGCAGGGGTGGATTTAGGAGTTTCGGCTTTAGGGCTGCATGTTTTGGAGCTAAGGGCTTTGGTCAGTTATCCGAAGGAGTAGCGGGAATCCAAGACTGCTTCGCGATGCAAGGCGTTGCGACTTCCGATGTACGGTTTTGGTCCAATCCTTACAGGCCAGTTCAAGGCAGTACCACTACAGTCAATCCCAAAATTGTTGCGGAAACTGGATAAAAGGAAGAATCAGAAGTGGTATTCCCTAAACCCTCTAAACCTTACCTTAACCCACAAATAACCTACCTTTTAAGGACTTATATAAGGAAACCATAATAGGGAACCCAAAGGCTCCAAGTATACAAGTACTAGCTACCTTGGGAGGTCTCAAGTCTATAGTCTATAGACACGCAGTTCCTACTTTGGGCTAGTTGGCGTCTTCGGCCGACTATGTGTATATATATATATATATATATATATGTTAAGAGGTCTGGCATAAACCCTGAAACCATGAACCGTAAAACCCCGAACCCTGCGTACCGATAGTCTGAATTGTAGTTCCGCTTTTGGTTTAATCAGCTCTATATTCAGGACCCTACGAGGTAACCCCAAAAAGGAACAACAATGAAGACTGTAGTAGACCCTACTTGGAGGGTCGGGCGACGTAGTACCTTAATAGGGATCCTAATTGGGGTCATGGTACTTGTAAGTCTATAGAAAAACTACTTGCTAATCACCCCGACCCTCCAAGTAGGAACCCTGAACCCTAACCCTAAACCCTATACCCTATACCCTAAACCCTAATCCCTAAACCCTAAACCCGTAACCCTATAATTACACTAATCCCTAAACCCTAAACCCTTTACCCTAAACCCTAAACCGTATACCCTAAACCCTACACCCTAAACCCTATACCCTAAACCCTATACCCTAAACCCGAAACCCTAAGCCCACCACCCCAAACAAGTTGCCCCCGCCGGGCTCCCGGCTTTCCCTAAGTCAGGATCCGTTCCCTCGATCGCAGAGCTGTTGGCGTCGAACCAGCGCACCTTGCTTCGTCTAGAGGCCTTAAGAAGTAGACTACTGGGAGGTTCATGGGTAGTTATAAGGGTCCCTTTAAAGGGATCTATAGGGATTCTATCAGGGTAAAGGATTTAAGGTTCATGGGTAGTCATATGTGGGGTTATAAGCCCCCGTAATATGGGTTATAGCTACAGTTATCCTACTTACAACTACTCATGAACCTCCACGTAGGGGTTCCTCTACAGGCTCCACTAGAAAAGTTCTATGAGGCTTTCTGTAGGGTTTCCGAATCATTCGGATCTGGCTGCAACGCAGAACAGAACTATAAGGGTTACTATGTCATACGGTGGATGGACAAAATCCTGCATTACCTAAGTATGGTATGGTACCATAATTCCCACACTTTAGGTATATCGGGCCATGCAGGACTTTGTCTATCAACAGTATTATGGTGACAGGCAGGCAGCCTGAGCAATAGTACTGGCGATTGTTTTGTCTTGTCTAACAGGGGTTGACAGGGTGTTAGTGGAAGGGGGCTTGGTTTCTGGCTGACAGTATGGGCTTGCAGCTTACAGTTTGGATTTGGTTTAGGGTGTGGGGTATCGGATTTCTCATCAGCCCGTGGTACAAGGAATACACCTCAGACTATGAAAAGCTTCTTGTCATGCCGCAAGGTACATTCCTAACCTGAGGGGGTGCTGATGGCAGCGGTGCACCATCGGTTGATGCCTCAATGGCCTCCATGTCCGCACTGGACAATGACTTCGCGCCTAGTTTCACTAGGTCGGCGAAGCTCCCTCTAGAACAGTGAAGTAGTGAGTGGAATGAGAAGTACCCAATCTGCTGTGACTCGATTGTGATGATTGTCCTCAGCAGCTTCGATACTTTCCACTCGCCTTTGAACTTCTGTAGCAGGGCTATCGCGGAATCGTCGCCGCCCACCACGGCCTTTATAAAGGCGGGTATGTCCAGTCCGATGTGCTTCAGCACCTTGACTGAGTTTGCGATGAATGTCCACGGCACCCCTGATGGGAGTGCTCCCCTGTGCGTAGTGTTTTGTCTCGTCAAGATCGAGACGCTTCTCCACGCCCCGCCCTAGGGTTTAGGGTTTAGGGTACTTTATAGGGATCTACTTTTTGGATCCTCCCGGGGGTCTGCAAATCGATGGCCCAGGCCGCTCCCAGGATACCACGGCCTCGTCCGGCATTGTCGTAGGCCGGCTACTTGGAGGTTCATGGGTAGTTATAAGGGTCCCTTTACAGGGATCTATGGGGACATAGGATTTAGGGTTCATGGGTAGTCATAAGCAGGGATATAAGTCCCCTAATACGGGTTATAACTATAGTTATCCTACTTGTACTTAAAGGATCATGGGACGTAGTAAGTATGGTTATCAATACTTTAATTGGGGCTATAAGTAATTATAAGTGTAGTTACCCTAGTAATAACCCCAGCTACTAAGTCCCACGATCCTCCAAGTAACCCTACTTTATAACTACGTATGAACCTCCAAGTAGACGTCGGGTGCAAGGCTGAGCTTGGGGCTGGGCGTTTGGGGGCGCTTTTGTCAGGGTTTGCTTCCGATGACTTCCGAAATTGTGCCCTTCAAAGGGGTAGGTTTTCTTGGCTACAGGTGGGGTATCGGGTTTTGAGCATGACTTTGTAAGGGTTCTCGAGCATTCGGCTTTAAGGTTACAGGGTCTAGGCTTAGGTCTGTGGTTAGAGTTTGGCATGTAAAGGTTTCTAACATTTAAAGGTTTCTAACACTGCAGCTACAACCGTACATGCTTCTGTGGACCACACAAACCCTAAACACCTAAACCCCTAAAGCCCTAAACCCTAAACCCCTGAACCAAAAAAACCCTAAACCCCTAAACCCACTTGGAGGGTCGGGGGACTTAGTAAGTAGTTGTTTTATGGAGTTATAAGTACCAAACCCCGATTAGGGTCCCTATTAAGGTACCTGTAAGTCTATATACTAACTACTTACTAAGTCCCCGAACCCTAAACCCTATAGTACCCTTTATAGAGCCCTTTAAAGGAACCCTTATAATCCCCAAAGGAGCCTCTACTTATACTAAGTCCCCCGACCCTCCAAGCAGAACCCTGAACTACCCCAATCTGTGCTTGGGACTCTGGGTTCCGGCTCGGCTCCCCCACAAACTGAAAATCCCATCTCTGAGCCTTTGCGCTCGACCCCCAAAAAAGGCAGATTAGGATTTAGGATTTAGGGTTTAGGGTTTAGGGTTTAGGGTTTAGGGTTTAGGGTTTAGGATTTAGGGTTTAGGGTCCGTCAACTATTGACACCCCCACCCCCCCAAGCTCAAGACAGAACCAGCGCAACCCTTAATTATAATTCAGAACCCTAAACCGCAGGAAAAGAGAGCATCGATGGCTGCCGCGGAACATTCGGATACGGCGAAAGGACCTGCGACCACATGCGCAAGGATGCAGAACTTAAAGGATCAGGGTACTTTGTCAGTAGGATATTAAGTAAGGCAACATAGGAAAACTATACTGAGTTTTCACAACCTATTCAGTCCCACGATCCCCCATCCTTTGCATACTAAATCGGGTCTCATGTCTGGACTCACTACGATGGGGCCTTTGTACCCGAGTTGTGAGATGCTTGTGTTCGTCTTCCTCTTCTGGCCTTAGTACTGCTCGGGGGTTCGCTAGTCGAATCCAGCAATCTTGGCGCTGCTCCCGCTGTTTCGTGCACTACCTGAACCTCAAATGGCCTACCTTTTGGGGGTTCCTTGTTATCTTCTCATTATTTTGAACAAATACCTAAACTGGCAGGCTTCTCAGGGCCAGGGTGTACTCTGCACACCAAGCCCGAAAACAGGTCAGTGAATGCCAAGCCCCAGAGAGGAACCTACTATCATCTAGAATCAAACCCTAAACCCTAAACGGGCTTATCGTTTAGGGCTTAAGTTCTTGTTCGTGGATCTTCGTCATCTGATGATACCCACCTTTCCTTCGCATCCGTCCGTGTCCAGCCTTGGTGCCACGAAAACCAATATCGTTCCAGAAGCATCATGCCCAGCCATTTTTGCGGAATTCCAAAGCTTCCTGCTGAAGATGCCGGATAGTCCTTTTTCAAAAACTATAGGTAATTATTGAGGCCCCTATAGTGCAACCGGAGAACGGTTCGCAACCCGCAGCTTCGGCCGTTTCTGTCCCTCTGGGCTGCCAGGAGCTCTCGTCCCATGTCACATAGGGGCCTTAATAAATAGAATAGGGTTTGGGGGTCCATTCTTAAACTATATTTATAGTAAGGAAACCCCAAAGTACTATTGGTAATTATTTAGGTCCCCATAGTACTAGAGAAGCCCGCTTTGGCTAATATGCCCCTGCACCCCTCTAGCATTACTAGCATCTGAGTCTAGGAGTCCTCTTTTATCTGACTCTCTGATCGGATCGCTCACACTTGCCTCGGACACAGCAAGTTTGTACAGCCTCGCCCGGCCATCTCCAAGATGGGCCTCCCTAAACCCTAAACCGTAAACCCTAAACCCTAACCCTTAACTTAAGCCCTAAGCCCTAAACCCTAAACTTAAGCCCTAAGCCCTAAACCCTTATAAAGCTTCACGGATGGAGTTCCCGGCGGAAAGCTTCACAACTCTGCAGCTTGGGTCTTCTGACACTGCTTGGAGCATCATGGGACAGGGTTTGGGTTTAGGGTTTAGGGGCTATTACTCGGGTAACTACACTTATGATTTCTTATAACCCCAATTCAGGTACTTGTATCCATACTTACTAAGTCCCATGATCCTTTAAGTGCTGCACATCTGCCACCACCTTGACGCAGCAGCTTGACTGGCCTTCTCTCCGTCTGGGAGGCGTCACCGCACTCAGAAGGGGGGCCGCCAGTGTTTCAAGAGCCAGTCTGGGAGTTTGGATTAGGGTGACCTTTGGGGATATACTTAAAGGATCATGGGACTTAGTAAGTATTACAGTTATAAGTACCTTAATTGGGGTTATAAGTAAGTATAAACGTAGTTACCCCAGAATGACCCCAGTTACTAAGTCCCACGATCCTACAAGTAGACCCTTTCAATAAGGTCCCGTTGAAAAGAGCCAGCAATAGGGTTCAGAATGGTCCCCTTTAAGGGGTCTCCCTACTGCGACCTAGGACAGTCGAACAGAAGTGGGCGTCGCTCTCGACGGCATTTCCATCTAGATCCTGAGCCATGAACCCTAAAGCCCTGAAACCCACAGATGTTTACATTCTACCCACTCAAGACTTAAACAGAACTACGCTCGAATGCACGAAAGCCGAACGCCCTCGATTCAATACCTTGAGCCCTAATTCAGTTTAAAAGTTAAACCCTAAACCATTACGATCTACGCCCTGATGCAACTGAAGTGTTCAGACCTTGAAATCTTTGAGCTTGAAACCCACTCCTTGCAACCCTCAGGGCCCAAGGACATGACGTAGCACGGCACCCCTAAGCCTTAAACCCAAACCCTCTAAAACCTTACAAACCCTAAACCTCTAAACCCTTACAAACCCTAAACCCCTAAACCCTTGCAAGCCCTAAACTTTAAAACCCTTAACCCCTACACCCTAAGCCCTAAACCTTAAGCCCTAAACCTTATAAACCCTTAATCCCTAAACCCTGAACCTTAAACACAACACCCTAAACCTTACTGCCTCCTGAGCCCCTCTTTGGAAAAGTCAGCACCTGCGAGAGGTTCACGCTCTCATAGCCCGGGCCATCAGCTCGATCCACCTCACTCTTCGGGCTTATGATATAAATCCCGGGGTTCCTTTAAAGGCATCTATAAGGGAACCTTTAAGGGGCTCCTTTACGGGATCTATATAGTTTCAGGGCTTAGGGTATAGGGCTTGTTTACGGTGTATGGGGCAACGTTTAGGGTGTAGCACTTAGGATTCAAAGTGTCGGGTTTACAAGTGCTAAGGGTTTAAGATTTTTGGCTTCATGGTTTAGGGTTCACGGCCTTTAGGGTTTGGGGTTTAGTGCATGTCTGTGGTTGCGTCTACGTGTGTCTCTATGTGTCTTTGTGTGGGCCTGTCTGTGTCTGTCTGCCTGCCTGCCTGGCTGCCTGGCTGCCCGGCTGCCTGTGTCTGTCTGTCTGTCTGTCTGTCTGTCTGTCTGTCTGTCTGTCTGTCTGTCTGTCTGTCTGTCTGTCTGTCTGTCTGTCTGTCTGTCTGTCTGTCTGCGTGTGTCTGCGTGTGTCTGCGTGTGGGTCTCTGTGTGTGTGTGTGTTTGCCTCTGTGGTGTGTGTGTGTGTGTGCATGTGTTTGTACCTGAGTGCGTGTCTCTGTGTGTGTGTGTGTGTGCATCTTTGTGTCTGTGCTGGTCTGTCCCTGTCTCATCCTGTCTCTGTCTGTCTGTGCCTGTCTGTTGCCTGTGTCCGTGTCTGCCTGAATCATTTTGTGTTTGTCTGTGTCCGTGTCTGTCAGTGTCTGACTGTGGCTGTCTACCTGTGTCTGTCTGTGTCCGTCTGTATCTGTCTGTGTCTGTTCTCTGTCTCTGTTTCTGTCCGTGTCTCCTCCGTGTCAAGCTCAGTGTCTGCATCTGTCTGCGGTGTCCGTGCGCTCCATGCGCGTGTGTATGTATAGATATACTCATGTATGATGTACATACCTGTCATGTATGCATGCATGCATGTATGTATGTAAACAACACGCGCACACACACATTGTTCTATCAGATAGACTGGCTGGGCGGATGGATGGATGGATGGATGGATGGATGGATGGATGGATGGATTGAATTTTATTCATGGATGGATGGATGGATGGATGGATGAATGGATGGACAGTCAGATAGGTATTAGAGAAACATTTACCCATCGGGTACATTTATCTACATATATATATATATATATGTATATGTATATGTATATGTATATGTATCTGTATATGTATATATATATATATGTGTATATATGTATATATAGATGTGTATATATATACACACATACATACATACATACATACATACATACATACATACATACATACATACACATATATGTACATATACAAAGGTATATGTACATATTTATCTAATCAAGTACTAGTTAGTGAATCTATATATAAACACATATCTACACACATGTAGACATATATACAAACATGAATACCTATATACATACATACATACGTTCATACATACGTACGTGCATACATACATACGTGCGTAAATACATACATACATACATACATAAATACATGCATACAAAAATTGTTATATAAAAAACAGGCACACACACACACACGCATATATATATATATATAGATATACACACACACATGTACATATGCATTTACATATGAATATACATATACATAATCAAACACATACGCAGATAAACATGCATATACATATACATAAACATATACATAAAGATATACATATACATATACAAATACATATTCATATACATATACATTACATATGAGAATACACATGCAAATGCCTATACATACACAACATATACATACATATACATATCACATATACATATACATACACATATACATAGGCAGATACATACACATATAAATGTATGTACATACATACATCCATAGATACATGCATACATACATACATACACTTACATCTAGGTATGCGGGTGTGTGTGTGTGTATGTGTGTGTGTGTATATCTATATCTATCTGAATATATATATATATATATATACATGTGCATGTATATAATACATACATGTATACTACCTATGAATGCCTTCATCCGTGGGAGAGACAACCTGCGAAGGAACAGGCTCACCCGCCTGGTAGCTACCACGCTTGAAGGCAAACTCGGTGGCCTGCTTGACACCTGGGAACCCAGAGACTCTGAAGTAAGGATTTAAGGTTTAGGGTTTGGGGTTTAGGGTTTAGGGGTTTAGGGTTTAGGGGTTTAGGGTTTAGGGTTTGGGGTTTAGGATTTAGGGTTGTGTAGGGTTTAGGGCTGGGGCCCCAGCTCAGGGTATAAGGCTAAAGGCTTCTGCAAGGGTTCCGTAGGGTTCCTATATGGGGTGTATAAGGGATCTGCAGGGCTACGGTCAGGGGGTATATAAGAAGTTTAGGAACCTTCAAGTTTAGGGAAACAGGAATTTAGGATTAAGGTTTTAGGGATTACAGGGAACTCCAGAAAGTTGGAATATGGTTTCATGGTAGGATACCCTATAATTTACCATAGAAGGGTTAGGATAATCATATTCCAACTTTCTGGCTTTCACCTTAAGATTTAAGATGTGGGGCGGTGCCTCAATACTAACGCTTGGTACAAGTGTACACAGCTTGTTGATAGGGTCTCAACTTCGACCATGGTCACCGGGCATGTTATCGCCGGCTCTCAAAGTAAGAAACAGACTATACCTATAGTCTGCATTGCAGTTCCACTGTTTTGTGGTTAACCCAAATCTCTATTATAGGATGCTAACCAGAAATTTGGTCCCACGGGTCCAAAGGACCCAGTACTTGTGTAGTCGGTCGTCGGATAGTAGTTGTGTAGGTTAGGATTTTTCAGAGTTGATTCTGACAAGTAGGTACTCGGACCCTCCGGGTTATAGCCGCATTATAGCCTGCTCTTATAATAGTAAGAAACGGACTATAAGGAGGTTGTTGGCCCATGTTGGCCCATGAGTGTCGCCGGCTGCGTGGTAGGGTACTCTTTTCCGAGTGGGGGTTGCCCTGAAAACCGGAGAAGGACAAAACCTACCTCTAACCGACCATGACAAACTCTAATATAGGGGCCTTGATAGTTAGCATAGGGTTTTGGGACCCATTCTACGATAATAATATGAAAGAAGGAACCCCAAAAATAGTATAGCTTATTTGTTTAGGCCCCTAAGTCAAGTACCGTTATAGATCCCTTATAGTAACCCCTATAGACCCCTTTAAAGGAACCCCCAACATAGTACGGGTAATTAGTTTTAGGCCCTTAGACTACGCCTGACGGACCTCTCGCGCAGGTTTCTGGAGGATGCGTGTGCTCCTCCGGGGGGTCTCCTGTTTCTACCTGCGAATCTAGACCTTAGGGGCTGAGTACCCTAGCCCAAAAAAGGTCAACCTTTGCAAATATATTATGGTAGGAATATGGGAGTTTCCGAAAATAGGGGACCTTAATATAGTACCCTAAATAGTAGGATCCTTCTCATAAGGACCCCAAAATAAGGTACCCCTAATTTTCGGAAACTCCCATATAGAAACCCGAAAAGGTTGAAGGTTACCCACTCAGCTACAAGGAGACGTGTCTTCACCATTAGAGTATCTAACCTCCCGAACCCTGAACATCCAACATAGGTCAACAAAGAGAGCCCTAAACCCTAAACCCTCAGTTATTGGGGTAGGCACTATGAAGGAGTTGTCATGACTCAAATGCAGATTGGCTGAATGCAAGACATACACTACACGGGCCTTGCTGAGGGGCTTGTAGTACAACTATATGGGGACACAGGTAGGACTGAAGATAGAAAATTTGTAAACTACGCATTAATGACGACGACAGCGTGTCACGGCATATTATACTCTAAGTACAATAAGCAAACAATAAACCACCATGGGAAATGTCAAAGTGCTCACTATAACAAGGCAATACTGAACTTGGGACATCAGGACGATAGTTTTAGCTGTTTCTTAGGGGCTAGATTAACCCCAAAAAAGCTTGAATTCTAAGTACCCGCAAGCAACAAGGAGGGAAATTTCCTGACCTGGGGTCCCAGCAGAGCTGCAATTTTTGCAGCAGAACGGCTTCCTCCGGTTCAGCAAAGCATGGGGCTCGGGCAGTTTTCGGATCTTGGCGTTCAAGGGTTTTGGATCTTTAAGGTTTAGGGCTTAGGGTGATCATTGTTCTAAGCACCCCTTTTCCGTCGGCAGATTCGGAAAGCTCCTCAGGGCAGGATTTAGGATTATGCTCCGTTGCAGCTCCCTTGTGTTAGCTACCGAGTTCATGCTTCAACGATCGTGGCCCGTAGAATTGTTTCAGCAAAAAGGGAACTATAGAAGAGAGCCTGGACAGGCTCCGCCCACCCCACTTGCAAGCTCTCACAATGTGAGTTTGTACTTCAAGGTTCCGGGCTATAACCTTAAACCCCAGAACGCCACCCATAACGAGAACCTCCCACCCCTTTCCAAAACCCTAAACCCTTTATAGAACCCTTAGAGATCCCTTTAAGGAGCCCTTATAGATCCCTTTTCAGGTACCCCTACTTCCAAGCCAAGAAAGAACGCGAAGCAGGCAACTGTTGGCACCTCGGGCCCAGGATGCTGCGCCGCCTGCAGCAGCTAGCTCAACCCAGAGAGCCCAATACCCCTTAATTAAGGAATATAGCTGAAATCATAGTATGAAGCCCTATATAATTCAAGCCACATTCCTTAATTAAGGGGTATTGGGCTCTCTGGGAAGCTTATTGACGCTTGCAAGAGGTTCAGAAGGCTTCCATAATGCTTCATAATCATGACGGTTCTGAAGGGGTGCTATACGGATTTCCAGAAGGGTTCTATAACGGTGCGATACAGTTTCTGAAAATTGATTCCTTGCGTTTGTTTGGCATCTCGACGGTCATTCGTAATTAAGATGAAAGCCACATCGACAGGAGGATAAGGCGCGTTCACAGGCAGCACTACGCTTCGTGAGAAGGCGTTCAGAAAAGACCGTCCCTAAGGCCTTGCCATGAGTATGAATGGTTTAGGGTTTCGGGTTTAGGGTTTAGGGTTATTGTCTGCTTGTCCAATCTCGTGGGGAACCCAGGGTTAACTGTTGGGAGTATATTGGGATGCTATTGGAATCATAAACCCCGAAAACGTTGAAGGTTACCTACTCTACAACCAGATTATAGTAGAAATCTGTTGGGACAATAAGGGGTGATGATACCACCAGGCGTGCCCAGAGAGCCCAATACCCCTTAATTAAGGAATATAGCTTAAACTATGTATATATATATATATATATATATCTATCTATCTATCTATCTATCTATCTATATATATATATATATAGGGCTGCTTTTTATGATTTAAGCCATATTCCTTATTTAAGGGGTATTGGGCTCTCCGGGTACCGACCCCGGTTTCATGTACAGATGCGGTGAGCCGAGATTTTCCCCTTTAGCTGGAAGGAGAGCCTCAAATCCTCTTGAGCACCCCGCAAGACCTAAAAAACTAAATTGACCCCAAACCCGCAGCTCCTTCCCTCTCCGCCCCAGCAACCATGCAGCACTCGAGAATTTGGAACCAGAGCCCAAGGTCGACTCACGAGTCTGGCTCAGGCCAGCGCACGACAAAATTGTCGCAAGTCATTGCTGCGAAGAAGACTCGCCCCGATGCAATGCTCACGACGTTTGTCAATCGGTGCTGCACGTGTGCGCTGTCGTCGACCCCGTTGAGGCGGCGGGGCTGGTGCCCTGCGCTTAGCGCGAATTTGAAGCGACCCACGCAGCTCCGGCTGCTGCATTTGAAGCAGGCGCGAGGATCCACCCGTGCCCTTCAATAACGGTTTGTTAAGGGGTTTTACAACCTGAAACCTCTCCACTTGGAGGTTCATGGATAGTTACAAGTAAGGGATATAAGTAGGATAACTACATGCAACACCCATATTAGGGGCCTCATAAGTCCACATACAACTACCCTCAAACCCCCCAAACCCTAAACCCGTGAACCCTAATCCCGAATCCCTTAAGGCACACTTATCCAGCTATGAAGCTCCAAGTAGGGCTGAGTTCTGGAGTTGAACTTAGGGTTTGGAACTTAGGGTTTAGAGGTTTAGGGTTTAGAGGTTTAGGGTTTAGGGTTTAGGGTTTAGGGTTTAGGGTTTAGGGTTTAGGGTTTAGGGTTTAGGGTTTAGGGTTTAGGGTTTAGGGTTTAGGGTTTAGGGTTTGGGGTTTAGGGTTTAGGGTTTAGGGGTTGCAGGTCTAGGCCCGTAGTGACATTGCATTGTTGAGGCTCAGAGGATCAAAGTTCAGGGCTAAGAACGAGTTTTGGGGTTTGGAAGCTCCGGCGTCAGGGCTTAAGGCTTAGAGTGGCCTAGACCCTAAGCCTCTACTTAGTTGCTGAGTTCCTAAGCCCCCAAAAGTGTACACTTTAAGGTCTCCAGTGGGTAATATATTATCCCGAAAAGTGTAAAGTGTAACCACTCAGCTACTAAGTATAACATCCAATCTTGAAACCCTAAACCCTGAAGACCCTCAACCTTTACAACACTCCACGACAAGGATGCTGCCTTCTTCCGAACAGCCCGGCAAAGATCTGCTGGCCAAATTGCGTGAGGGCGCCCTAACACCTGCATGGCGAGGCTTTATGGGTTGGGCTTCAGATTTTCGGGCTTTGGGGTTTAGGTGTTTAGGTGCTTAGGGTTTATAGGGTTTAGGTTTAGGGCTTAGGTTGTTGTTGTTCTTGAGTTTCGGGGTTCTGATTTAACTTGTGAGGCTTTTCGACGTCGGTTGAAAGCTGCACAGGATGTTTTCTTCTTTGCAGCGCAGGCCTTAGACCTTAACGTGCTAAGGGGCGTAAGGCTTAGCTTTTAGGCTCTCTGATTTAGGGTTTACAGTTTAGCGCCCGAGGTTTGCAGTTCCTGTAAAGTTTTCAGGTTTGGGGGGGTTGAGGGTTTATGGTTTAGGGTCAGGGGCTCAGGGGACCAGGGGTTTATGTAGGGGTTAGGGGTTCGGGTTTAAGGGTTGGGCTTACCCAAAACCCTAAACCCTAAACCCTAAACCGTGGCTTACTACCCTATCGAGCATTTTGTAGGTACGACTCTCCTACTATGTCCCTGCATATTGTAAGACGGCTAACTATGGGGCCTCACAAGGGTTCTCTAGTCGTCAGTCTTTCTGTCTATCCCTGGGCAGAGAGCCCAATACCCCTTAATTAAGGACTATGGCTTAAATTATATAGGGCTTCATATTCTGAATTAAGCTATATTCCGAGACACTCGGAGGACTCTCTCAGCATGGCAAACCCCAAACCCTAAACCCAGTGTGCGCTGGAAGTCTCTCACCCCCCCAAATCAAATTCCGGCCTCCATGGCAAGACCCTGCACCATAAACAACCTACTTGGCTCAATCTCATGGGAGAGTATAATAATCCCGATACCTGGGATGTTGAGATTTATGAACCTTCTCTTCACCAGGAGCCCTACCAGCAAAACTCCAGGAAACCCTAAACCTTAAGCTTTAACCCCGAACTCTCAACTTTGAACCCTACAACTGAAAACCCGAAACCCCAAACCCTACAGCCTAAACCCTAAGTGATAGGCTAAGATTTCAGAAACCGAAAAGCCATCTAAAGCTCGTTCAGGTGAGTGGCAGACTAGGCCAGGCGCTTCCAAGAGCTCTCAGGGTTTAGGGTTTAGGCTCTTCCGAGAGTTCTCACACTTCAACGGATCAAGGGATGCTAATGCCTAAGCACTGAAATCCTCACCCCTCCCTTTCTCTAGTTATAAGTAGGTGTTATAAGTAGGATTGCTACAGTAAAAGCCGATATTCGGGGACTTATAAACCCCAGCTACTCATGAACCCTGAATACCCATATGCAATCCCTATAGATCCTTTAATTAAAGGGACCCTTAAAGGAACCCGAATAGCTACCCATGACAAGTAAACCCCTGGGAGGGCAGGGTCTATGCTTCATGATAAGAGGGAGTATGAGGGGATTGTATGATTTCGTACTTTTCCAAACACCTATAGTAGGCCAGAAACATTTGAACCCTAGACCCTAAACCCATAAACCTTAAACATCCCTAAACCCTACAGTAAATCCACAAACATCGCCTTCAAGGAATCAGCTAATTCCGGCTGCAGTCGACGCCACAAGTTCGGCGAGGCTGCGCCGGAATCCTTGACAGTGATAGCTCTGGGGTTTAGAATTTTGGATTCGGGGGTTAAGGGTTTGGGATTCAAAAGTGGCTCAGGGATCAAGATTTTCATGGAAAATGAGAGCTCTGGGGGTTTGAGTTTAGGATTTGCGGTGTTCAGGTTAGAGGTTTAGTGTGTAGGACTTAGAGGGTTCGGGTTTGGGGTTTAGGGTCTAGGATTAGGGCTAGTCAGGGCTATAGGGTTTCAAAACTTAGGTCGGAAAGGATACGTCGGATACGTGGGAGCGAGAGTGTCCAAAATGCCGGGGCCTGACTATTTAAAGTAAGGATTGAGAGTATGTTAAGTGCTATGTGTGGACGACCAGTGGAAACTTTCACCAAGTATTCCGACCTCTGTATGGGGAAAAAGAACGCAGTTGGGGTTAAGGCATTGGTTGGACTAATGCGAAGCCTATATAATTGCCGATACGATGTTGGGTTCCTTATTGTTTGCACAATAGAAGGGATTCGAAAACCCTCTTCTAGTTACAGTAGAAGCCAAAAAGTTGGAAACCCAATAGCCTCAAGCCTTAAGAGTAATGTTTTGGGAATCCCAGCACTATTTGGCCTTAATCCGGTTTCCAACTTTGTCGGGATTACTATAAGTAAGCCCAAGGAACCCTTACAGAAACCCTTAAAGGAACCCTTACAGAAACCCTTAAAGGAACCCTTACAGCAACCCTTAAAGGAATGTAAGGCCCCCCCTATTCGAGATTCGGAGTTTGTGAAAGTCCCCAGGATCCTCTCGGCACCAGCGTCCAGGGCCTCCGGTTTAAGGGGGTTTAGGGGTTTAGGGTTTAGGGTTTAGGGCCTCCGGTTTAGGGTGTAATTATGGTTCAGGGTTTTGGCTTCCGTTAGGGTTTGGGGTACTTGGAGGTTCATGGTTATAAGTAGGATAGCTATAGTTATAACCCTTATTAGTTCTTCAGTATCCCTTGACCACAGACTGCCAAATAATGCACGCATCCGTATTGTATCCGGGCAGAACCAGAATGGCGATGCGCCTGCTTCCTGAAGTCCGCGATGCTCACGGGATTCTGCCGCGTGATCCAAGATCGGCTAAGCTATCCTCCCAGAGAACCCCATACCCCTTAATTCAGGAATGTAGCTTAAATCATGATATGAAGCCCTATATAATTTAAGCCATATTCCTTAATTAAGAGGTATTGGGCTCCCTAGGGTGAACGTGAGCATCCGCTGCGATGGCGGATGCCCGCCATGCGTTTTAGGGTGTAGGGTTCAGGGTTTAGGGTTTAGGGGTGTAGGGGTTAGGGTGTAGGGAATGCCCGCACGGTATTCTTTGTGAGTACCTAGACCCCCCCAAGTGCCCTCTAATATACCCCAAATACCCACTACTAAGGGTCATAAGGACTCTTCTACAGGGCCCTTGGGAGTCCTGGTACTGTTTGTAGCCGTCGTTCCCCAGCTGCTTGGGTTTGGGAACTATTTTCCTGACGATCCGCTTTTCATGTCTCTTGGTCTGTCGAAGCCGAAGTGACCCGGTGGACGACATATCTTGCGCATTGATTGCCAAGACGATGCTGGAAACTGTGGTCAGGTCAGAGTGAAGGAGCCACTTCTTGTCGCGCTTGATATGCACTGCTGCGCGGATCACGCAGGCTTGTTGTGCATCCTGTCCCCCATCTGACTCAAGCACACAATGGCTGCTCGGGCATGCCTTGGAAGATCGCAGGACATTGCCACTTACCTGACGCAACCACCCGATCCAGTACCTGGAGTTGGCTAATGTCCCACAGCGCCTGGACCATCTGCGATGGTTGCAGGAGCGAGGTACCTGGAATTCACAATGCCCTCGGCTCCACCTGAATTTTGTCCCGTGTGCAAAGAACAGAGTGTAACGATGTACAGTCGGATCTGCAGGCTTGGTAGTGAAGAACCTCCCTTTCTTTTTAAAATCAGCTTCTGTCTTAGTCAGTATCTTTAACATGTTTTTGCTGCGTGCCCTTACACCATCAGTTATGGCCACAAGGCAACACTCGTTCCCAATGTAGCTTTACTTGTATTAAACTCCTTCAAAGCTTCAAACGCGGGGTCCAATCGGGTCTGAATGTATTGCCTGTCGGAACCCACACGTTGAGCTCGCGACCCTAACAAGAGGTTGGAACAGTTAGTAATACTCTCCCTTGTACCAGTACCTATAGTCTCCATTGTAGTTCCTTTTTTTGGTTTAACCAATCTCATAATTAATTAGGACCTAGGATCCTATAAGGTACCCCCCAAAAGGAACTACCATGGAGACTGCAGGTAATATAGCTGCTGCATAATGTATCCCGATGCCCTCGGACCACCGCACCCCAAACCGTAAACCGCGCTGAGCCCCATAATCCCAGAGAGCCCAATACCCCTTCATTAAGGAATATAGCTTAAACCATAACATGAAGCCCTATATAGTTTAAGCCATATTCCTTAATTAAGGGGTATTGGGCTCGCTGGGATATTGAACCTGCAACACTAACCAGAAGCTCCCTCGCTCCCCAATCCCTGAAACCTCGAAACAGAAACCATACATGTTGAAACTAACCCCTAATACCCCAAACGTCAAGATCCCAAAACTCTAAAACGCAAAACTCTGACTGCCAAGGCTCGGCGACCAGCTGCATCTGAACAGATGGATAGGTTTACTTGGAGGGTCGGGGGACTTAGTAACTAGTGGCTGCTATGTAGGAGTTACAAGTACCCTAAAAGGGACGCCAACTGGAGTTATGGTACCTATAAAACAACGACTTACTACGTCCCCCGACCCTCCAAGTAGGGCTTCAGGGGATAGAGTCTCCAGTAGAGAACGTATTTCTCCGCAGGCTCTCTTCATCAAACCCCTAAGCCCTAACCCTAAACCCTAAACCCTAAACCTTAAACCCCAAACCCCAAACCCTAAACTGGCAGGACCCCTAGGTATAGACCCTCAATATAGCTATTATATACCCATTATATAGCCCATGTTGTGGTAGGGGTCCCCATTAAGGCTCCCTCCTTTTCCTCTAGGTGTGAAGTCTTGAGGCCCAAAACCCTAAACCCTTAACCCCAACATTTTGCTATTCGGTGTTGAGGTTCAGGGTTTGGGGTTCAGGGTTTAGGGTTTAGGATTCAGGGTTTAGGATTTGGGGTTTAGGGTTTAGGGTTCAGGGCTTCGGGTTTGGGGATAGTGGTTGGGAATTCAAACCCGGAGCGCCAGGTGCGATTGCAAGACGCACTATGATGGGCCGTTTGCGCCAGGGCTTGCTCGGCAACCCGTCAGTGCTACTTGGAGGTCCATGGGTAGATATACGCAGAGTGTCCAAGTCTGCTAATAAGCTTTAGCTGTAGTTATCCTACTTATAAACCCTATCTTTTGCTACCCATGGACTAAGGCCTATGTCTAAGCGCATTGGGGTTTAGGTGCTGAGGGTTTGGAGTTTAGGGTTCGCTGAACCTCCCAGAGCATCAACGACCACGAATCTATACCCAAACTGGAATACCAGCGACTCCGAAATGCCTAGAACCAATATAGCAGAGATCAATCCTGAACCTCTTCCTACACCATGAATCCTTTGATCCATGGAACATGTCGAACATCCAATACACCTTCAGAATCCACCTATACACATCGTTGTGGTCCTGCCTATGCTTAGCCGGCTCCATGCCAGGATCCGTTCGTAGAAAGGTAGGTAACCTCAATAAAATAAGGAACTACAGCAACAGACTATTTGGGAGTTTTCGTAATTAGGGGTACCTTATTTGGGGATCCTTCTAATAAGGATCCTGCCATTCAGGGTACTATATTAGGGTCCCCTCTTTTCGGAAACTCCCATATTTGTGTCAAGGTAATTAGGTACGCCTTCATGCTCGACGGAAGAACCCTCGACCCCATCCCCACCTCGCCGGGTGCCGGCAGCGCAGGTGGGGCCGAAGATGCACCCCGACGGTCGAGGGGGTCAACGCCGGCACCTGTTGCAGATAATGGCTTTAGGGTGCAGTTTACCTACAGGCTCATACCCTACCCCTTGTTTAAGGGACCTACTTTTCTATATAGGAGATCCTAACCATAAAACTAGGTACCCTAAAAAAGGGGTAGGGTACCTAGAAGGTGATTCGCGTGCAGGGATAAGGGTGTAGGGCTTCGGGATTAAAGGTTGCTCCTCGCTTTTGGCATTTATATATAAGCTGTTCGTCCACAGGCCCCTTCTGGAGTCGTGCACTGACGTCTCGGTGATGAGTTGGAACCAAGCAGATCGGCCTCAGATCCGCATTCTTCTCAAGCCTCGGTACCTTCGGCAGCAGAACAATCTTGCCTTTCATCCAGACTTCCGGGATCGGCAAACGTTCACTGAGCAGGTCCGTGAAGTATGCCGCAATGCGGTCCTTCGTATCCCGGAGGAAATTACCACGGAAGCCTCGCCGAAGGTGATACCTGCACGGGCAACTGCAGTTAGCAGCACGACGCTGCAATCCGTGGAGTTCGCGATAGCACGCCCATGGCACTGCAGAATCTTGACGTCGCCAGCTATCCCACTGTTGAGGCATCTCTGCGATCTCTGCAGCGTCACCAGGGCTTGGCACGAAGCACAAGACGCCGAAGCTTGCCTCTAACCTTCGACCTTTGACTTCTTCCTCAACCTCTTCAACAAGGTCGACCGGAGCGTAAGGCGTCTTAAGCTCGATGACCTCACGCTTGGGATCTCCGCGAGCTTCCAGCTGCAAAGACACTGCAGCACTCCGAGCAAGCGTGACGAGATCGGCGGTAACAGCCATCTTCAGGCTACAGGCTTGCCGCAAAAACTTTTCAGGCTTGGAAGGTCAAGGGTTTAGGGTTTCGGGTTTAGGGCAGCTCCGAAAGAAGTGTATAAGGGTGCTCAAGGGTGAGGTGTCGTGTCTTCTAGGGCCTCAAGCTTAAGGCTCAGGGTACATACCCGCACTGTTTTTTCTCTGTCCTTCAGGTGAACTGAGCAGAGTTTGTTCAAAAGCTTCCTTTTGTACGAACCTCTCGAATGTACCTTGAACCCCAAGACTACCCTGACGAGACCCTAAACCCTAAATCCTAAACCCTAAAACAAGACGCTTATAAACCCTAAACCAAACCCCAAATCCCGAACCCCAATGATCAATCCTGAAGCCTTTAGCGACTCCTGGGTCCTGTTATAACCCTAAACCCTAAACCCTAAACCCTAAACCCTAGGATCGACCCCAAAGCCCCACCCTGAGCCCTCAGCCCCAAAACCCTAAGCAGCAAACCCCCAAAACCCGAAGCCCTGAATCCGAAATTTTCTACTAATAAAGGGGCCAAAATGATTACAATAAGGTTTGGGGGGTATACTATACCATAAGTAGAATTAAGGAGCCCCCAGAATAGTATACGTAATTTAAGGCCCCAGAAGTACTAAGCCTTGAAGCCACTAAACCCACAATCCAAAGCCCTAGCTGGGTTGTAGCCCTGTGGCCACCAAGAGTAACTGACTATGAATAGGTACCTCTATAATTAGGACTGTAAGTGAAATCTTAAGCTTTCCTAAAAAGCCACCTCAACCCTAAACCCTAAACCCTAAAACCCTAAACCCCGAAAACCGAAACCCTAAAGCCCTAAACCCTCAAACCCTGAACCCTAAACCCTAAACCCTGAACCCTAAAACGCTGAACCCTGAACCCTCAAACCCTAAACCCTAACAGCTAGACACAATCGAGTTGCGGGAGCAGGGCCGGTCCAGAATGGGACCATGACCTTTCGGGGATGCAGCGGCCTCGTCGCAGATGTCGATGTAGGGCTTAGGGTGCTTTTTCATTTTTTTGTAAAGGACCCTTTCCCGACTGCAAGGTAATTAGACATACAGCAGGGAGACAGGCTTAGGGTTTAGAGCTTAGGGTTTGGGGGTTAGAGTTTAGGGTTTGGGGTTTCGGGTTTAGGTGTGAATTGCGAGGCCCTGGGCCCTAAGGTTGGACGAAACTTTTCAGGTTTCCATAATTTAGGGAACATACCATAGTCTCCATAGTTCTGGGTACATAAGTAATGCAGTACAGAAGTAGTGCATCAAAGCGGAAGGTGTCAAGCTCATGTGTTTTGCTCGCTCAAGCGCTCACAGTTCAGGCACTATGACATCCCAAGGATGCAGTTTCAGGGACGGCACGGTAGAGCTTTGCTTGTTTAGGGCCTGGGTTGAACTGTAGGGCCCGTCTAGGTATGTAGCGTGTGCATTCATATCTACGCGTCTGTATTTGTGTATATGTAGAGTTATAGGTGTAGATATAGGTATATACAAATGTATATGTGTTTATATGTGTATGTAAATGTATATACATATGTATATTATACTATGTATGTATGTATTTACATATGTATATATATATATATATATGTATGCATGCCTGCATGTATGTATGTATGCATTTATGTATGTATGTGTGTGTGTATGTGTATATATACATATATCTATCTATATATATATATATATATATATAGAGAGAGAGAGAGAGAGAGAGAATATGCACACATTAATACTATGCATGTACATGTACACACATGTGGGCTCATGTACCTTTGAGACCCCACTTCCAACCTAGACAGCAGGGCTTAGGACGCGCTCCTGCTGTCGGACTGGGGCTTCGGTTTGGAGGGATCAGGTGTAGGACTAGGGTACACGTGAATACTGGATGGTTCCTGGAGATACTTGAACGACAAAGAAAAACAAGACTGAGGATAAGAAACAGCAGTTTATACACATACGAAACAAAAAGTCTTACAAAGAAGAAAAAAGAAGCGGAAGGCGAGTCGATTAGTGCCATCAACAGCAACAGCAATGATAGCGGCGATAGTAAGAAGCATTGCAACTTCAATTGCGACCATAGCAGTGGATATCATTATAAGCCATGTCATAACCAAAAACGTTAAGAGCAGTGGCCAGTATTAACACTTCCACTCACAGCAAACCCCGGGTAAAAAGAAAAAAACAACAAATCAGCCGTTTCGCCCCACCTGCTGCTCCTTGCTATGGAGGCGGCGGAAGCCTGCATCAGGCCTTTCCTGCTTGATGCGAATACAGCAGCGAATCATTACAGACTACCCAGAGCTTCCAAAACCCCTTCATGAAGGAATGTACCTTAAATTATAAAGGACTTAAGGTACATTCCTTGATCAAGGGATTCTGGAAGGTCTGGGTATCTCTAATAACTCTACGTAGTAGTTCACCCCGAGTCCTGAGGGAGGAATAGTATTCCTGGTGATTCAAGCTCCTGTACTGCTCGCCTAGATAGCCAAAATCCGCTTTGAGTACGGGATGCTCCTCAAGTCATACCTTGAATCGCTCTGTGGTTGAAGGGTGTTTAAGGAATCGTGTTGAGAAGACGTTGCTGTTCAACTTGTAGCGTGTATTGCTAACCTATGCGGCCTCAGATGCATTCCTGGATTATCCTTAGGCGCCCAGTGCATTCGCTTCGATGGGATATTCCGGCGGTAGGCATCTACACTCTCTGGAACAGTTCGCACTATGCCTAGAGGATCAGGCAAATTGAAAGTGCGGTTAGAAGTAAGCTAATCGCAATTACTGACGACCGTCAACACAGGTGGCAATGACCTTGCTTATCGGGTCTCCTGCCCCTCCAAGTATTGGCTCAGCCCATATCTTAAAATCTCTGAAGGGAGGCGGCAAGAGGCTCTTACCTTAGCAAGGCCAGTCCGAACGAAATCAAACCAGCTCAGTGTGCTCGTAGGGCTGCAAGTACGAGCACGAGACTAGTGATGAAATCTATTTCAAGTGAGTCTGGGGTTTATTGATGGCCCTGGACGACCAATTCCTCCACCTCCACATGCTGTAGGGACGATTCCAAAACGACGTGTTGCCTGAAGGCTGCCCAAATCGGCAGCTAGTGAAAGCCTAAGACCCTTGCACCCTCAACTGTTTACCCCAACCCCTCATCCTTAAACCCCGAAACCCCTTATCGAACCCTTATAGTGAGCCTGATGGGCACGTTTGAAAAGAATCCTTGTAGGAACCCACAACCCACACCCCCAGAGCCCCAAACCGGGTCTCCTGGACCTCGGGTGTGAAGCAGCCCGGATGGCACCTGCGGACGGACTGCTTGTAAAGGCGGAGGCTTGAGAACCCTAAACCCTAAACCCTAAACCCTAAACCCTAAACCCCAAACCGTTTTGAGGGCTTTGGGTTCAGTTTTTGGGGCTCAGGGCTTGTGGCTTACAGGAAGCCCACAAGTTAGAAACCCTTTGGCCTCAACCCTTCAGAGTAATGTATACGCAATCCCAGCACTATTTGGCCTTAATTGGGTTTCCAACTTTATGGGGTTTACTATAGAGCTGAGGGGCTTCATAACTGTTTACAATTCGGCTTTAGGGCCTACCTGTAGGCTCATACCCTACCCCTTTTTAAGGTTATCTAATTATCTTCACAACAGATCCTAAGCAATAAACTAGGATTCCAAGTGAGGGGGTAGGGTATGAACCTCTAGGTAAGGTTCAAGGTTTCGGGTCTTTCAGCCTCGGTCTAGAAGATTCCAAAATCCCTGAGCTAAGTCGACAAAACAAGACTCCTTTAAGGGCCTTAATTAGCCTGAGACCGCCGCATAAAATCCCTAGAGGGCCTGTAATTTACAGACCGCCCTCCCTAGCAATTTTCGTGAAAGCCGCACCCCCCAAAATCCTTCTGAGACCCGCGAAGACAACCTCGTCAAACCCTGATGGAACTCTGGGTCTCAGGGTCTATAAGGGTTAAAGGTGTGCTGTACGGCGTAGGGTTTAGAATTCAAGGGTTTCCGAGTCAGCGTCTGGGATCCAAGAATTCACGGCGACCCAGACCTTACTTGGAGGGTCGGGGGACTTAGTAAGTAGTTTTTATATAGTTATGGTACTTATAACTCTATAAAACAACTCCTTACTAAGTCCCCCGACCCTCCAAGTAGACCTTACTTAGCGGTCTGAGTAGGGTTATAAGCAAGGAATCTCGAATCATGCTTTCAAAACGTACATTACTGAGTCCCCCGATTCTTGAGGCAATATGCTTACACCTCGACCGTAAGTAAGAAACTGAACAAAAACAAGACAACTAAGCCGGAAAGCTCCATACCGAGCTCGTTCAAGCCATCGCGATTGCAGCGGCTCTCTACACCTAAGCCCTAAATTCGGAATGACTATGAACCTAATACAGGGGCCTTAATAACTAGAAGAGGGTTCGGGGATATGGTATATTGTCTTTATAATAAGGACCCCCCCCAAAAAAAAATCTTCTAATTATTAACCTACATTACCTTAAACCCTACATTTGCCCTAAACCCTAAACCTCTAGTGACGTTTGCTGGAGACTCCCCAGCCTTGATGTCCGCGGCGTCTCGATGCTGAGCAGGAAGTCTTCCGAGGGACTACCCCTTGTCGTCGGCCTGGCTGAACTGCGAGGCATGATTTGGGGTTTAGGGTTTAAGGGCTGAGCTGCTACCTATAGTCTCCATTGTAATTCCTTGTTGGGGCTACCTATTTTGGGATCCTAACTATAAAGTCTGTTAAACCGAAAAACAAAGATTTACAATGGAGACAATGGGTAGGTACGGTTTGGCGATTTAAGGGGCCCTTTGCGGGGTTCCTTAAGAGTTCCGTTGATAAAACATGCTAGAAGGGATTTATGCAAATCTATAGGATTGAGGGCAGGTTTCGGGTTAAGGAGTAAGATTTCGGGTTGAATTCGGGCTTAGAGTTTGGAGCAAGGTTTCGGGAATATACGGTTCTAGGGTCCTCTTGAGTTTCAACCATTGGTTGGGAAGAAAGAGAGGAGAGTGATGCTTACAAGCGTGTGCAAGGCAAAGAGCTCAAAGTCACCGACCACCAACTGCAATGCCGCTGAAACTCCCACGTCCACTACCTCTACTACTACATACCACGACTACGTCCACTGACTACTATGAAGACAAGTACGACTACGACGACGATGACTGACTACTCTACTGCTCATAAAACATCGCTTTCACGTTGGGTCAGAAGACGTCAAGCTCATGTGTGTCTTGCTCAACGGAACGAAGACCCGAAAACAGTTCATAGTTTCTCATCAGCCCTCAACGTTCAGAGCAGGGTTTTGCCGCGGTGTTGTCTTTTCCATCTTTACAAGAGACGCAGCTGAGCAATCAATCGCGCTGTGCCAAACATCGTCAGTTGTTTCAGACATGTAGATGTCACAGCCCTCGCGGATGCCGTGCTTGTGGAGCATTTCTTGCGGCACCAAAACAACTCAGCTCCTGAACCAGTGTCCGACCCCTACGTTGGCAACATTCATTTCCCGACAGACGAAACCATTTGCTCTTGGCTGACTTCTGAACCCCTCTAAAAAGTTAAACTTTTGGCCTCCTTATCAGGGTTAATATCGAAACCCAAAAAGTTAAAGCCCTCAGAGGCAACCAGAAGAACGTCAAGTGCTGTTGAAGCTCTTGCGCCCCGAGCTCCAAACAGAGGACATGCCACCCGTTTGCAACTCTACAACCTAAACTAAACCCTAAACCCTACACACTAAACCCAAAACCCAATGGCCTAAACCCTGAAACCCTAAACCCCAACTGCCTAGACCCTGAACTCTAAACGCTAAAACTGCGAGACCCAAATGGGTCCGTGTTGGGTCCTTATTACAGAACCCCTATACCCTTATAGACTCCCTATAGATCTCTTTAAAGGGACCCTAATTTTGACAACCACCCAAATGCACCTGGACCCGGAGCCACGGCGACTGTCGAGTGTCGAGTCGAGGCTACTCCTGCTTAGAGAGGGGCTCCTCTAAGGCTTCCTTAAAGGGTTCCTTTAGGGCTTCCTTAAGGGTTCCTTAAAGGGTTCTTTTAAGGGTTCCTTAAAGGGCTCCTTTAAGGCTTCTTTAAAGGGTTCCTTTAGGGCTTCCTTAAGGGTTCCTTAAAGGGTTCTTTTAAGGGTTCCTTAAAGGGCTCCTTTAAGGGTTCCTTAAAGGGTTCCTTTAGGGGTTCCTTGAAGGTTTCTTTGAAGGGTTCCTTCAAAGGCGCCTTTAAGGGTTCCTGAAAGGGATCTATAGGGCTTAGGGTTTATGGTTTGGGGTTCAAGATTCAGGGTTTGTAGGGTTTCGGTTTTAGGGCTTTACGGGTTTGTGGGTTTAGAGGTTTAGGGGTGGTTTAGGGCTTTAGGGCCTTGGAGCCTTGGGGGATTAGGGTTGAAAGAGTTTGGGGCATCCTTTATGTAGTTGTGTCTCAGAATCAGATCAGAAGCTAGCCTAAACCCTAAAACTCGGAAATCATCAACCCAGAACGTGAATTACTAAACCCTAGACACTCAAGTCGAAGCTTACACTCAGTTTGGGGGCGTTGAGCTTCGGGCTTTTCGCCTTTGCCCTTTCCCTAAGCGTCCAAGTACCCCAATAGTATGTACTTTGCCCTTAAAGTACCTGTTTAGGGACTACTTCAAGGCCAATGTATATACCATTTGAGTACATGGACCCTTCGGGTTTACCCGGACCCTATAAACACCTGGATTTTTGCGGACTCATACGAGGAACTCATCAGAGGGAACCCTGAAGAGATGGATTTTCGAGGCTGCATGTAAACCAACCTTAAACCCTTTAAATCCTAAACCTTACAAAGAGCATGCTTCAGGTAGGGCTTCTGCTTCAGAGGCTTAGAGGATGGCTTTATTCGAAGAAGGGTGTTGGAGCTCAGGACTATCTAGGATTCAGTCTTTGGGGGCCTAGGGTTTAGGGTTGGGGTTTACAGTATAGGGCTTCGGGACTAGGGTGAGGGTTGGGGCTGCTTCAGATTCAGTGAACCGACAGTAGGAAAAGTTCAGACGTGAAGGTGCTGGTCTCAAAAAGCTCTGTTCATTGCTTTTAATTAACAGGTGTTCGTTTCGGGTGCTTTTGAGGTTCCAAGGAGTCGGGTATGTTTGTGTGGGTGGGGTGTAGGTCCAGGTTCAGCGTTGAGATAGGCTTAGGACTTAGGGTCCTGACGAGGAAGCTGCCTGCTGATATTCGGTCTCCAGTTCCCAAGATCCGTCTTTCTTCTTAGCAAGCAAGTTCTGGGCTGGAAATTTGAAAGCTGGTCAGCGTGGTCACGACAAAAGGCGCACCGGACCCGGCTGCCACCTTGTTGAATGATGGCCTTACACACGTTGACGCTGCCCTGGTTCTGCACCTCTCTCTCCATGCTTCCAGGGTTCTCCAAGACATGCGCTGCCACGCAAACTTGTTGTTTATCCTTCACGCGCGCGGGTTTTGGATCGTACATAGTTGTAGCCCTTCTTGGTCGGCATGAGGCATCCTGGCTTGCAGCTCAGCTACTTCCTTAGCCAGCTGATCAGTGAAGAGCTGGTCCCTGAGCTGTCTCTTTCTCAAAGTGGGCCTTGCCTGAGGTGTGAGGCTCGTCTCAGACACAGGCTTAGCTGCGGATTTCGCCGGCCCCGCTCCAAGGCAAGCTCTCTAGCGTCTGCACTATGACTTGTACTCCCAGGTTGCTCTTGATCCGAAGGTGTGCGAGACACCCCCAACAGTGACTAGGATTGACAAACCGCTCGTGATTTTCTTGCATAGCCCCGAACCTTAAATCCTAAACCGCGGACCCCCCTAAACCCTGGACCCTACACCCTAAATCCTGGACCCTAAACCCTCAATCCTTACAAAATCGTTTAGGGTTTGGGGTTTAGGGCGTGTCAAGGAAGCTAGGACCCACGAAACAGCTGGAGACCCGGACCTTCGCCATGAGAATTTCAAGAATACTTGGAGGACCATGGGACATAGTAACTGGGCGTATTTCTACGGTAACTACACTTATAACTACTTAAAACCCCCAAATAATGTACTTATAGCCATCCTTACTAAGTCCCATGATCCTTCCAGCATCCCACATCCAAACTTAGCGGCCCGTTCTGGCTCATCCTTGGAGGTTCATGGTTAGTTACAAGTAGGGTTTATCAGTAAGATAACGATAGCTATGACCCATGTACAGGGACTGATGATTGGTAAATATGAGTAACAGTCTGTTTGAGGGCTAATTACTATTGCGGGCATTAGGGTTTAGCCTATACTATATATATAAATATAAATATAAATATATATATATATATATATATATATTCTTCAACTGTTACAGAGTTGAGTAAGGACAGTATCCAACATACTAGTTTCAAAACCCTGGCGCTGCCAGGGCACAGCGCAGGCGGGCTGTTAGCCTTTCGCAGCGGGAAACAGCCGCTGTCCTCTTTCAAGGTTCTGAAGCGGTCATGCTCTGCGATTGTGCTTGGAGGTTCATGGGTAGTTATAAGTGGGGTTATATAGGTTATAACTATAATTATCCTGCCTTTCACCCAACTTCGAACTAACCATGAACCTCCAAGTGGCTATAGGGGTTCGAAGTTCATCAACGTTACAGGGTACGTGATAATCTGGATCCTGCCAACTGAGGTTCTATCAGGGTTAACGGGTCCCTGGTCCCCGGTTTACTGAACCTCCGGGGCTCGGAACTCCAGACCCAAGAACCTATAGAGCTCTAAGCACTCCTCCTATACCTATATACCGATAATTAACGCTAAGGAAGAAATTTAGTCATTCTGTAGCCTTCTATAGTATGTACTGTAAAATGTCCTGCGCTGAGCGTCTGAGCGTCATACGTGTATGAAAATGCATGTCAAAGATTGTCTGAAAACCTACGTGTGACAATATCAAACAAATATGCAAATGCACACAAATACTACTCTGACAGCCCAGAACCGTAACCCCAACCAACAGTCAAACCCTACGCCGAGGGCGTGACATGATATAGGAGTTGTCATACAGTTGATGATATAAATCCTGCATTGCCTTAAGGACCCTAACCTATGGGAATTATGGTATATTCAATATTATGGGTAATGCAAGATTTATATCATGAACAGTAGTTGAAACTGCTTTTGAGGCGTGTTACTCTCTGCTACTGCCATGCTCACTACACGGACTCAGGAACACGATCAAATCTTCAGGCCGCCATAGTACCCTCAACCCTAGTAAGCCCTAGACTTCGTGATAAACCCTAAACCCCGAGACCCATAAATCCCTGAACCCCTTAACCCATAAATCCGGAGACTAAACCCTAAACCCTAACCCCCTAAACCCTAAAACCCTAAGCCCCTAAACCCCCAAAAAAACCTAAACCCCAAAACCCTAAGCCCTAAGCCCCTAAACCCCTAAACCCCCAAAAACCCTAACCCTAAACCCTAAAACCCTAAAGCCCCTAAACCCTAAACTCTAAACCCTAAGCCCTAAACCCTAAAACCCCTAAACCCCTCAAAGAACCCTAAATCTGATCCAACACTCCCAGCCTCGGCGATCTGGCCCCTGATTGGAGCGAGCATGGCATCGCACGGATGATCCAGGAGTTGCTGAGTTGAAGGGCTTTTGGGGGCCTGCGGGGCGTTTCAGGGTTGAGGGGTTCAGGGTTTAGGGCTTATAATGTTTAAGGGCAAGTTTAAACCCTAAACCCTAAACCGTCCAGGAGCATTTGAAACCCTAAATCTAAACCCTAAACCCTAAGGAGGGGGGGCGGATCCTTAAAGCTTTCTTGTGGTAGAGCTTGGGACGGAGGCTTGGGGTTTGGATCTGCACTGCACAGCGATTTCTGGCAAGAGGCAGTGTGAAGTCCATAGTCTGTACCTGAAGTCTCAACCCTAAACCCTAAACCCTTAAACCCATTCGAGTTAAAACGCATGTCCTGCTATTCTTGGCTTCGGCAGCTGGCAGAGCGGACTTTTTATTGGCGACAGCTTGGGGGGAAACCTTTAGGCAGCAAGGGTTTAGAGATACGGGCTGAGGGCAAACCCTAAACCCTAAAACCCTAAACCCCTAAACCCCTGATTCTTAAACCCTAAACCCTGAAACTCTAAACCCAACCTAGTGTCCCGGAGGTTGTTGGCTCCTTCAGGGTTTAGGGTTTAGAGGTTTAGGGTTTACGGGTTTAGGGGTTTAGGGTTTAGGGCTTAGGTTAAACAGGCCGGTGGTCTCCACATCTTTACCTAATGCTGCCTACTTCATGCAGCCCCACCCAGACTCAGACCCCCAAAAGTATGTAAAATAATGGCCCAAAACCTATAAAAGGCTATTATTCTACATACTTTTGGGGTCCAGGTACTGAGGATCCCGACATACAGCCCCTTAACACAGAAAACCCCAAGTACAGAGATCACCGACCTACAGAAGGTTTAGGACTGAGAAGGGCCCAAATTCTTTCCGGGTTCTACAAGACATCTGTAAGCAGTTTGTTGGGCGTGTTTTGGAGGAATTAAGGGTCCGATGGACCCAATAGCTAGGCACTTGGCTTCGGATAGTAGTCCTGAGTCCTGTTGTCATCTGAGTTGTAGGTACTTGGACCTTTAGTTAACACCTTGAAAAATCAAACTTGGACCCAATTCCCCCCCCTACACCAAGAACACTGAACCCTGGACCCCAACGTTCATGCTTCGGGCGCATTGTCTGGGAATTCGAGAACTTCCCGTGGTGCTTGGGTGTCCGTGAATCGGGCTTGTGAATTTATGAAGTTTAGCCAGGGTTTCGGGGTTAGGACGTTGGGATTTAGGCTGGAGGTAAGGCTTAGGGTTTAGGGGTACAGTGCCGCAAGCAAAAGGGCTGTAGAGCTGTGGCCTTCTCAGACCAAGCCGAAGGAAAACAATACGCAGCACTCTTTTCTTGAGACCGGCAGCAAGTCTCTAAGGTGCGTGCACGATGGCCACAACTTGAGGGAGGATGCGCAAACGAGCCCTGTCTTGATCTGCGCTTTACCGCGAAAAAATAGGATCTGTCCTAGGGCTTTCGTGCCTTGAACCCTAAACCCTAAACCCTATCTATTCAAAAGTGTTGTTGTTTAAAATATGATGGTTCAAGCCTTTGTGGCCCTAAACCTGTTTCATAATCCTGGACAGGGTTCAAGACCCAGACCTTCCAAAATCCCTCAATTAAGGAAGATGACTTAAATTGTAGTAACATCCCGAATATGATTTGACGTATTTCCCTACTCTAAACTCTAAAACCATCGAACCTACGCATGAAACCGAAGGACGGCCCCAAAAACCACGAAGCTTCAACCCAGCACGGCCCAGGCTTTTATTTAAGTCAAAGAACAAATCAGTAAACTGTGATAAGTAAATATATGCATGTATAGAAAAATACATATATATATATATGTATATATAGCTACCTGCGCGCTCGATCGATAGGTAGATAGAGAGATGGATAGACAGGCAGGCCGATAGATAGACAGACACACCCTATGCCTCAGAACATACATCGTCTTTCCAGGAGCACCGAAACGGTAAGGCTGCAAAACCCTTCGCTCAAGCTAGCACAGTAGAAGGTCCTCCCGGTTGACAGGGTTCCTAAGAAAACGTAAGGTTTAGATTTTCGGGGTTAGGGATCCCGGTAGGAATTCTGTATGAACTTTGGGGCTTTGAGGTATTGGGGTGCATGTTCCTTTGAACGTTCTTATGAGGATTCTATGAGGGGCTTTAGGGATTTTTGGGTCTCAGGCCACTAGGATTTGTCTCTAAGGGGGTGACAGCTCCGTTCCTGTGCATCCCCCCTCCAGGTAGCATGTACAAAGCAGCAATCGTGGATGCCAAATGCGCTGGAGGTTTACAGGTTGTCTTACTACGGTTGATGATATTAACCCTGCACTACCTTAAGGACCCTTACCTATGGGAATTATGGTATATTCCTTGGTATGGGTAATGCAGGATTTATATCATCAACCGTGTGGTATGGCTAAGCTCGTATCGTACACCGAAAAACACGAGCACCAAGGCCATCCCAGAAATCGTCTTATAATAAACAGAATAGAAAGAGTGTCGGGCTTCGCCAGGTTGACTTCAAGACTTACTCATTACTAGTTCAAGGTTCAGAGTTGTGGGTTTTGGGTGTATGGGGGGATACTACGACAAAGGCTTACTTTTACTGATAAATTAAGGCCCCAGCACGCGAAGTTCAGTAAGTCAGTCTTTCAAGTTGGGGTTCAGTTCAGGGTTTAAGGTTGAGGGCTTAAAGGTTGTTCAGGGTTGCTATGTCATAATGCGCACGTCGGAGTTTTCCTACCTGGCCTGACATTCAAGGACCCCAAATCCTAAAGCCGAAACCGCAGACCCCAAAACCCTAAAACCCAGAACCCCAAACCCTAAACCCTAACACCATAAAATCCCCTAAACCCTAAACCCCTAAACCCTAAAACCGTCTCGGGCGAAGAGGGCTTGGGAGTCAGGGCTCAACGTCAAGGCCGGGGTTCCGGAAGGGCTCGGCATTGGGGTCTGGTTTAACCTGCCTGGAAGTTCATGGGGCTTTAGGGTTTAAGGATTTAGGGGTGTAGGGTTTAGGGTTCAACCGGAACCAGAAACATAATATGAGCAATACCAAAACCTAATTGGAGACCCCAAGTTTTAAGAAAAAAGAAACATGCACGTGCATCTGCTAGGGCAATTTTGACCCTGCAACGAAACATGGGAAGTAAGGCGACGTGAAACAATTCTCGCTGTAATAGATGTTGCGTGAAGAATCATCCGCCTGCAGAACAGAACTTCGAGTCCTAGAAATTGAGCGCTCAACGTGTCTTCTGAGCCGGATCCCTGCCTGTCTCTCAATGCGCCTCACCCGCCACCGAGGGCCGTCCTTTGCTGCAGTGTGGGCCTTGGATTCACTCGGGGAAAACAAGCTAGCGTGAAGTCAATAAATACACGAATGTTTGCACAGAGACACATTGCGGGGAAAATCAAGATGTTTGCCGGCACAGGGGGAGGGACCTCAGATAGCAAGGACATTTTCCAATGAGGAGATTCGGTGAGCATGACAATGTGCGGCAAACAGGCAACACCCTACAAGAACACCATGAAGTTGAGCCATGGAGCCACCGGCTGCAGCCAAAGCGTCCCCGACTGGTCCTTACTTGCGCAGTTTACAATGACTCAAACGAAAAGTTGTCGGCGAGATGATGCAGCACAGACATAACCAAAAGAGACGCTCGCACATGACATGAATTATGTCGGGACTCGGCAATGATGGGCAAGGCCAGCTGCTGCTGCAGCTGCTGGTGCTGCTGCATCTGCAGCAGCTGCTGCGCGGTCAATGGTGTCCCCGCAGGGGCAACAATCATTGGGGGCAAAGCGGCCATGACTGCTAATAACAAACTGAAACCGAAGACGGCGGCTGGGGTTCAACTTCACATGTATCCTCGCCCAAACTTGCGAAATGCTCCAGGGGGCCAAAAGAAATGCCGAGCACCGCACTCCTCGACGCCCTCGACTAACCGAGTTGGCAGAACCTGAGGAAACAACCAAAGAAAATCCGACTAGCGAACGGGAAGCAGGACTCCGGCGACCTTAACCCGGACACTACACCCAATAGATAGGACTTAAAGCCCAGACCCGGCAACACGGGATCGGCACAGGTTGTGGGTTTTAATTGCAGCAGGTAGGCAGGATTCAGGAAAAGCAAGCAACAACCACGATGCAGTTCAAGTAACTTGGCAAGTGTTTCTATATGCGATTCAGGAGTTTAAGGGCATTGAAATGACCCAAGCAAGATGCCCCTAACCCTAACCCCTAAACCTTAAAGGACCGAGGCACCCGTGCGCCTCCAAACATGCACCAGCGAAGCCTAAACCCTGACAAGCCCGACGTCCTAACCAACCCTAAACCTTAACAAACAGAAGCCGTAAGAGCACGCACTCGCAACCTGGCTGCCGCGGAGCCCCAAGCCACCTCCCAAAGCCGAAAGACCCTCAACACCCAAGCCTCGCACACTCGAACCTCTCTGCCTCGGAGCCCCAACCCGCCTGGAACCCCTGAAGCCTCGCGAGGGGGGGCCCGGCCACGCAAAAGCAGCAGCGACGAGCCTGGGCGGAAAGAGAAAACGAGACCCCTAACAAACCCCAAACCCCAAGAACCCTTAAAACCCCAGCAAACCCTAAACCGAAACAAAGCTTCAACACCCGACCAGGCCCTGAAACCTAACAAACCCTAAACCCTAACAGGGCCCTAACCTCCAACAAAGCTTAAGCCCTACCGAACCCTAGACCCTAGCAAACCCTAAACTCCAACAAATAAGCCGCAACAAACCCTCAACCCTAGCAAACCCTAAACTTTCCTAAACCTGTTCACAGCCTCAACCCGAACAAACCACAATCCCCAACAAACCATGAACCCTAGCAGAAGCCTAAACCCCAACAAAAGGCCTCAGCCCTAATGTGCCCTAAGCTGCAGGAGCCGATCTGTTACGGCGATCGTTGGAGTACTACAGGAGCCGATCAACTACGGCATTGTTTGGGGTACTGCAGGAGCCGATCTGTTACGGCAGTGTATGGGCTACTACAGGAACCGAT